CGCGCTTCTGTAGAAGCTAACTTTACATTCACAATGTGCCTCACAATGGCTTGAATTATGGCGTTAACATTAGCGCTGTTTATGAGTAAATCACCGTGTAATAAGTTAGTCGTCTGTAAAACCGTACGTTAATCCTGCGGTTCGACAGTGCCGCAACTTGTTTTTCTGTTTCGATAATATTTTTCGGTTTTAACTTTAATATTCAAAGTAGGTAATTAATTACCATATATTAACTCCAACGTTTCGTACGTTGTTTTTCATTACTTTCGGAAATCCAAACTTTTCTACTATTTATCAAGTTACAAACTATTAAGGAGAAAGTTAGAACGTAATTGTTCTATTTTTTTAATGTAAATCAATAGCAGCATTCGTTCAAATCCTGTAATCTCGAGAAGCGGAATATACGGTAATAGTGCGTGTATACTTTTTCTCTGACAATCTAGAAACGCGTAACGCTTTTTACGTCAAAAACCACACACTCGGAGCAGCCGTTAGAGCAGTCAGTCTCCTGTCACGGCTGCCTGCATAAATATCTCATGAAATTGAGCATAACCAGTCAATGACTTACGTCGAACCCGACGAGCATATCTCCACATACAGTTGGTCATTAGTCAGGTGGGAAGTGCAATTATAATTTATCGTCCATCTTCCATTAGAAGCATGGCTACGTGGCGTGGTTTTCGCTGGAGCGCACAATGTCTTGCTCTCTTGCTTTTACTATCGCATAAAGACGTTAAACTCCACATTAACAAGTCCAAGACGTTTCATAGGAAACTGTTCAAGTTTTTCTTCCACGAACGGCCGGTGAGTGAGTACGGAACAATAAAAAATAGAATTTATCATATTTATTTATACCAGCGACTATCGTGTTCGGACTAAAGAACTATAATGGGAGACAGAAAAACTGAAACTGAGAACCGTTAGTTTAAGACAGGTGTACCTAAAGGGTATGATTAATATATGGTCACAGTGTTAGGGGCTCGCAGTAACTTCTGCTGTTGCACGAATGGGCAGGCTCGTCCGGTGTACTTCCACCATGGCCTCGCAGAAGACCGGCAGAAAGTAGAAATATGTACTGTCGCGTTTCGTCTGGTAAGGTAATTTTATGTTTACATAATAACTTTTTTTTACTGTGATAAATCAAATACAGCCTAAAAATAATGAATAGAAAATATCGCTGTGTAAAAAAACCTCCTGCTGGACAAATAGATCAACTCAACCAGAGGCCGTCCAACTACCTGACTGCAACATGTCCGCTGTTGCAAGTACCCATGGGCAGCGCCACTTACTATCAGATGAGCAATGTTGATAATTCCGTGGAGCATTTATCAATGTCTCGGCTTCGGCACGTGGGGTCGTGGGTTCGATTCCAACACTGGATAAATATTTGTGACCCACAGATAATTGTTTCGAATCTGGATTCTTGTCCACGTGAAATGAATATAAAATGTCCTTACAACACAGCATAATGATATACAAGGGCAATGTTTTTTAAAATCTTAAAAACTCGCTACCTTTTCTTATAAACCGCTCATTTTAAATAAATAACAACTCTTGATTCAGAGGAAGTGTTATATACAGAAATAATCATGAAAATATGTTTTTATGATTCGAAACATCAGTCATATATGTATCGCGAATCAGCGCATTTGATATTTGATACCTTCTTCAAACGGTAAAGAATAGCGGTGGACGAATTCCAATAGACATTAAGTACGCCCTTTGTATCCCCTTTTTATGTTGTTTCAATATAGGATAAATAAATAAATAACTTCAATTGATTCCGTCTCCTTCTAAACGCTATTAAATAGAACCAAAACACTTATAAGTAAATTTTAGTCACCCAAAATTGTCGTGCCTTTGGAAAAAATAGGGGAAAAAATGGAGCATTACGTTTTGTGGGCAGCGGTCGACATCACGATTTCACGGACGCCGGTAATGGCGGCCATTAGACGCGTAGCGACACGGAGTATGGCGGACGACGACCCGCGAGCGACGCCGTTGTTGCCGCGGATTCACCGCAATTCAAATTATTTGATATCAAACAATAAACAATGATAAAAATTAAGTCTTTATAACAGCGTCAACTCTTTAAACAGGATTCTGCTATATATATATTTATATACAACATTCACACATAGCTGTATGTATAAGTATGAATTAAGAGGTTTGCAAGGATAGTGAAAAATGAATACTCCAAATGAATTCCAATTGCTAACTACATTCCGGGATAAATCATGGGCCAGGTGTCTCGTCTCCCGATTTTCTAAGGAATTTTTAGTCTTTTTCACTTCCAATAAAAAAAACGATCGTTTTTCCACCATGTTAAAGCAAATAGCTCATAAAGTTATAAACATGGTATATTCTTTGCTTTATTATCGAGGAACTGAGTTTTGACGTAGTGAATTTTATAAATCTGCGATAAAAAACAAATACTTATCTATTAAAGTGAAATTTAAACTGTAAAAAATAGAAATAAAAAATAATAATAGAACGTGATTCGATTTAATTATTCAAAAGAGTTATTACAGGTTTTTATAATAATGTTGTCTACGTGATATATAGATACAGATAGATACAGCTATTCAACATATAAGGAGACAGAGACTGTAAAAAGACATCGAGTGAAATGAAAAAATCTGTTTGTTTTTTTCATTTACAATTCATATATCCATCAAAATTCAGGCGTCGACGGAATGTTGTGCCATGTTTTTCTATGACTTTAATACTTAATATAATAACATTTTATTTTGAACTGAAAAATTGTTACGACCTATAAAACCTATATCAGTTAATTTTTCCTTCCTTAAATATTTTTAGTAAGCAGAAAGTAAAAATAAATGAATAAAGGACATAGGAAAAAATTATAAAAGGTAGTTTAATAAAAATATTTTTATTCAACTGTCTCAACAATAAAATATTTACACAATTACAATTTATACACTGTACATTAGAAAATAACAAGCCAACTCCTATTTACATGTGATTACAGCAAGCAAGCCTAATTTGGACCCACTATGTGTTTCAATGTACACAACTTTCACATTTGTACGTAGAATTAATCAGCGTTTCTATATTTTTAACAACGCACCAATTCTACATTTATGACTAGCCCCCATACGTTTCTAAATCATTATTTTAATATATAAACCATTGAAAGATTATTCTTCGTCAAATGATAAAATCCAGACATCAATCAACTAATAACTTGAAGCATCTGCGCACATTAAACTAAGAATATATTGTTTAAGTTAAAAGTAATCAAGCATTGTCACAATAAAAATCGTAGTATCTCTGTTGCAAAAGGAGTACAAGATTTTGTTAAAATATATCAAATTAATAAAATCATATTTGAAAATCTGAGCTTAGCTTTAAGAGCTATATTTTTTAATATAATTAAAAGTTTCAGTAATGATTAAGTTGGTGCTTTAAATAAACAAAAAGTGTATACAACTATCACAACTATATAATATTCTGAGCTAATCATCTCCAATAGATTTTACTTATATTTTTATGTACATTTACAGTCATGCAATAATACAAATAAACTTGTGCAACATTTGCTATTACTTAAAGATATACATTATGCAAAAACTTTTGTAATATTTTCTTTAATTTTATAATAACATAACTTTCTTTTAAGTATTAACCACCGATTTTTAAATAAAACGATTAACAAAAGTGACAAAATGTCGACGATACTATACAATATTACAGGTGTCTCCAACATTTATCTTTCTGGTTCCACAAAACTTTACAAAACAGTTTTTACATTAAGTTAAACCTAAATACAGGCGGTACCAAGTAATGTACACATATCCACTATATAAATGATAATAAAAAGGAAAATGTGTCGTTTACACATTTTAAATTCATATTTGTACAAAATTAAAATAAAACTAATATATATTTCATAATTAGGTATCGCATTTATAGTTAATGTGCTGTAAGTAGTAAAGGATCTAGTCTAAATAAGTAAAAACATGATTTATTCTTAAGTTAATATTAATATACAATCTTCATTAAATATTCTAGTTTTTTATGGAATTGAATTATCAGTACATCAAAAGTTATATGGTATAAATTTACCACTTAACTAACCACTTCAATTTAAAATTATGTCGATTTATAAAAAAAAAAACCCTGTATCAACTGTTAATCATGCCAAGTCATGGATTCTAAGGAATAAAGAAACTGATGATTTTAAAACATATTGCTTGTCTATATACATGAAACCTTTAATTGAACATTGATTTTTACTATTTATTTCACCCAAATAATTACAATGTTTTACTAGTTCACATCTCAGTTTTTGATGAACTGGAATGCAGTAATTGCAAATAGAAGCTACCTTTAGTTATTAATTTCACCATGTTAGAGAATTTTCATTGTGTCGAATTTTATCATTCCATTAAGTATTTTATCTAAATAACTTACACCTTTAAAGGTGTGGTACAAAATGCCAAGAATTATACAAATAAAAAAAAATGACAATTTATAATTACCTATTTAAGTGACATCATTCCAATACCAACAATATCCTCAACATTCTTCCAACAAAAAGCATTTATCTAAGAAAGACACTTGTTTTTGCTATATAACAACAAACCACGTAAAAGTTAGGTTTGTCACTCGCGGGAAAATACCACAACCTAGGTTTGCCACTTGTCTAACACACCAGGGTTGTCACTTAGCGATTAACATACTGGTCACTCGGGGATTAGGGTTGCCACTTAGCGATCAACATACTGCTCACTCGGGGATTAGGGTTGCCACTTAGCGATTAACATACTGGTCACTCGGGGATTAGGGTTGCCACTTAGCGATCAACACACTGGTCACTCGGGGATTAGGGTTGTCACTGTTGATAAACATAAACACACGTCGCGCCGGGGCCAGCCAGCCGGCGCTGCGCCCGCGGCCTAGTAGCGGCGGCGGTTGGGGCGCGGGCGCAGCTGACGCGTGCAGGGGAGCGACTAGCCGTCGCAGGCCTCGTCCTAGCTGTCCGCGGGCTCGGGCTCGAGCTTGGCCCCGGGCAGGATCATCACCAGCTTCTCGTCGCCGTCGCCCGCGTTGTGGATCGTCTCAATCTTCAGCATCATCTTGTCGTCGCAGCTGTCGTCGCCCGAGTCGGAGTACATGGACTGCGTCGACGTCGCGACCTCCTGCAAATGGATCGCGCGCTCTATGTATCTGTGGTTTTGTTCGACCCGATCGGCGTGGGCCGTAGTGAACATGCCTCTTTCGCCAGGGTGCGGGCCCCATTCCTACTACTTTTTTCTTTCTTTTTTAAACACTGCCCTCACTTTAGGATTACATTATCCTGCCTAACCAATACCTTGGCAATTGCGGCACAAAGTCATCATACTACTGGTGAAATATTGTGCGATGAACAGTTTTTTTTTTGTGTCAGGGACTTTAAATATGTATAATATGTTTTTATTTACAAAAACAAGAAAATTATGTTTAAGTATGTTTCACAGTTTTCTAATACCCATAGTACAAGCGTTGCTTAATTTGGTACTAGAGTACACGATGCGTAAAAATGTGTTCGAACATTATATGTGCTTAACATTATGCGTACACTGAGCGTTTGACCATCATCACATTTTTTTACCTGAGAAGTGGAGTTATATTAATAAGGAAACATTGGATTATATGCATTTACATCTATACATATGCAGTATAGTACTTATTTTTTGTTAGGTGTGTTGTATCAAGTGGGACCAGTGGCGGGTGAGTGTCTCATATAGCTACAAGGCAGATATCTACAAGAAGCCGCAACAATCAGTGCCGTCTTTACCATAAGGGCACACGGGGCCCATGCCCAGCCCCCTCCCCCCCCTGTCGTCACGGGTGCCCCGCATGGTCTACATATTCACTTAAACTATTCAGGCAGAAGTTTATAGAATAAATAAAAATACTGTAAATAATTATTAGTTTCCATCAGGGCCCTAAATTTGTGTGCCCTAGGGCCCCGATATGGCCTAAGATGACATTGGCAACAACTGTTAATTATAAAAAGAAAGGCTGTGGCAAATTAAATGCTGTTCTTTATAAAAATCCTGGTTATGAAGGATCAAATAAAGTGAACACATTTATCTACAGCACCGGCCAAACTTTGCCTTAATATGTATCTGCAGAAATAATGGCGTTAATTGTGCATATTTCGCCTCCTTAGTGTATCTTCTTTGCATGCATATTTTGGCATTTTTAAACTGCATACAACCCAATGTCTATCGATAACTCATTTTCAAAGAAATTTAAAATTATCTGTCATCAATGATAAAAATATTTTCTTTTTAGCTTCGTCACATTAATCTTTTAAATGGTACGTTGAATGGCTCTCTATACTATAACAAAGAGACACGAACATATGACATATACTCGGGGTATTTGTCAGAGGTTCTGTATTATATCATTTATAATTTTTTGACAACGCATCATCCTTGCTGTAGAGACAAGTATTTTATTTATATAGGATTTTGAGTACTCTCAGCACCGTCTAAGCTATCCATATTACGTCTCACTTCGGTGTTTGGTACCGCATTTAGGTTGCTCGGAGAAAAGATACCACTCTAATATTAATGACGCATCTCCAATCGCCAGCTTCCGACGGGTTACTACGCACCGTAATCCTGTTCTTTGTGTGGATCCGCACGTGCTTTGCCAAATGGTCCGAGCGCATGAAACGCTTGCTGCACTCTGGGCACTCGAAGCGCTTCTCGCCCGTGTGCGTCCGACGATGTCGCTGCAACTCGTCCGACCGCGTGAATCTGTAACAAATACATTTTTTTTTATTAACGAAAAACAAAACCGATTTAAAATATCTCGCTCTGTTTTCATTTTATCTCCGGAGCCCAAGATCAAATACCAATGAAATTAATATGGGAAGCACTAGCTTACAAATAAAAAAAGAATCATCAAAATTGGTTCTCTGCGTCGAAAGTTCTGAGGTACCAAACAAACAAACATAAAAAAAACAGTTGAATTGAGAACCTACTCCTTTTTGAAGACGGTTGAAAATAAGGGTATTCTTCATAACCGTGATCTAGCCGAAACGTTGGACTTGTTAAAAAATATGAAAACAAGTTTAGATATCATTTGTTTACCTCTGTCGCGTGTGATAAGTCATTTTTGGTTTTGGTTTAGTGTTTTATTGTTTATGGCGATAGAAGTCCATTTCGTATGATTTGCACGATTTTTTGATTAAAATAAACACACTTTCTTCATTCCAATCCCGTAAAACTTGCAGCGATAAATATATGTATAATACAAGGCACGTAAATTATTGTCTATTAAACTTTTTAGATTTTCCTTGTTTTTTTCTTATTGACAAGAAAATCCGCAATGTTTTGTTACACTAAAATTTATAATTATTTTGTAGGTACTGTAATAACTAAATTCTTTTTCTGTAGGATTAATATAATAAAAGTCCTTTATGGATTACCATTTGATTACCTTATTTTATCTCATAAGCTTTCTAAAACATTTCCCGGGATCCTAAATCAAAAATGTTTTTATTTGATAATTTATTAATACGTTGTTTCCTAAGCTTCTCTTCTTTTTAAACAAAGTCTAATTACCAAGTAGAATGTCTCTTTATAATGAGTTTATTGGTCATGCATGTCTATAATGTCGACGTTGGTCGAAGCGGCTCATCGTTCCATTGAAAGCGAACTAAAGTACTCAATTTATAGACCGCTTGTGTATAAAGCTTGTGCGTACCTTTTACCGCAGAAAAGCCAGTTGCAGAGGAAAGGCCTCTCTCCCGAATGCCATCGTAAATGCGCGCGGAGATGAGATGTTTTTCCGTAGACTTTATTGCAGCCCGGTATGTGGCACACGTGCTGTTTCTTACGGTCTACAACGCGGCTGTGGAAATTTAAATATCTCCTTAATATTAATATTACCAAGTAATTTAGCAGTTACCTATATCTACAGGTAAAGAATAAGGAAGTTCGTTCCACTAAAATACTTTAGGAGATTTTTTAAGTTTTCAAAAGTAACGTGAGTACTCTTACGTAAGTGAATACTCTTTACATGGGATTACATACCGAGATCGACCCACCGGTACGAATCTATCAGCATCACTGGATTTATCGAATCATTTTGTTTATGGTTAAAGTATTGCCGACTTCCATAGACTTCGGATAGTAAACGTGAGGTTACGGATGCGTTGCCCTTTAAAAGAGTGGGCCCCTAATACCTCACTGACAAGCAGACAAATCGCAAAACTTAAGTTCCACTTCACGCCGGTCTTAGGCTGCGGTGCTTCCCCGGACGAGTCTGCTCAACCGTAAGAATAAGAGGGCTTTTATCGAAAAGTTGACGAATGTATGAGGCGGATGATGTGTATTTGGGTCAAGCGAATTGATGCACTTCAGTAACTGTCCCTGTGCGATACAAGGGTTTAGCTGTGTGTACGTGCGAACGCAAAGCATAAATTGTGCCCTAGTGAAGATGTGTAAAGAGCAAAAATCTTATTAAGACCGCCAAATATTCATAAGAAGCTACAATCACAATAAGCTATGCGATTACTAAAGGAAAATTATTAAATAAGATGAAAATTATTTAGAATACGAGTGTAGTAGGGCGAGTCGTTCCTGCACACTATGTACTGCGCAGGAACTACCTACATAATTGTAAGTTTCAAGCGCTTTAAAAGCGCCTGCCACCGAACCGGGAGTTCCATGGGAGTTCTGGTCAGAACTAAAGCCCATTAAAGGACCCCGGCCCGGGCATATGGTGCTGTGTCGGTGCAATTAGCACCCCTCTACAGCGAGAAGCTGACCTCGGCTGCTGCCACTCACTTCTCGGAGGGCGGCCACTCCTGGTATGCGGGCGTTCCGGTCACAACGGAGGGCAACTAAAAACCCACTAAAAGACCCCTGCCCAGGCACATGGTGCTGTGTCGGTGCAATTAGCACCCCTCTACAGCCGGAAGCTGACCTCGGCTGCCGCCACCCACTTCTCGGAGGGTGGCCACTCCTGGTATGCGGGCGTTCCGGTCACAACGGAGGGCAACTAAAAACCCACTAAAAGACCCCTGCCCAGGCACATGGTGCTGTGTCGGTGCAATTTGCACCCCTCTACAGCCGGAAGCTGACCTCGGCTGCCGCCACCCACTTCTCGGAGGGTGGCCACTCCTGGTATGCGGGCGTTCCGGTCACAACGGAGGGCAACTAAAAACCCACTAAAAGACCCCTGCCCAGGCACATGGTGCTGTGTCGGTGCAATTTGCACCCCTCTACAGCCAGAAGCTGGCCAGGGCTGGCGGCACTCACTTCTCGCCCTGGTCGCAGTTGGGGCAGGTGCAGGCGACCCTCTTCATGAGCCGCTTGCCGAGCGAGGGGCTCGTGGCGCGCGCCTTGTTCTCGCACTCGGCCGCGCCCGCCGTGCTCACCGTCACCACCTGCCACTTGCCGGAGTCATTCGAGTCCTGCTGGATCTGCTGCCCGGCGAACGACGCCGTCTCTGGAAAGTGACAGGTCGGCTAATGGCCGGTTCCTATATTCAACGAACGGCCGCTGGTTACGTAGCTTCGTAACTTTCATAACGCCTTGTGGATAAATGGCGTGTACGCCCCGCTCCTATATTAACAAAACGTGGCGTTTTCCTTACGAGCCGTCGCATTACCTACGAAAGTGAGTTACTAGCGTTCCTTTAATCTACAAGTTGTTATGAAAGTTATGTAAATAACGGATGTTCATCGAATATAGGAACCGAGCATAATTCGAGAACACAACTAAGTCGGTTAACTGTGGTAGGGCCACGCAACAGTTTTCTTCTATGGACATGACATGTGTTTGTGCCCCAAGCAGGTGAGATGGCTTTATAAAATATATAGTTATAGACTTTATGCAATATACAGCGTGTCGTTACAACCGCGACAATAAATTAACACACGTCTAAAGCTACCTACTAATAATCATAAGACAATACAAAATTAAAAAAAAGCATAAATAAAAAAAATAGTTTTCAAACAAATTAATTAAATAAAAAGAAACAAAATTTGTAACAGCCTATATAGCTACAACTGACTGGTTCATACATTCAGACTTTTTTATTCGTTGCCACAGCGTCGCGTTACAAGTCTCTCCTTCTAACAGTATGTTTTATCTCTTTGAAATTCATTCAACCCATTCATATGTTTTGTGCCCTTTACAAATGAACTTTACGTTAGTTTTATACGTAAGGGTGTTCTAAAATTCTTTGTTTTGGAAATTTTAATAATTCGGTAAACATCAATATTTAAAGTATGTAAATGTTTAATACAATTTTAAAAAGTTATCCTCTATATGTGTGTTCATTTATTGTCACGATTGTATGGACACGCTGTATATGAAGTAATATTGAAGACGGACTGGATATAACATAGAATTAAAGGCACGCAATTATACAGAGATATAAATCTAAATAATTTTAACTGTTTTGGGGCCACACAGCAGCCCCGGCTGTTGCTCGAATGAGCAGGCTCGTCCGCGTAAGTATCACGACCCCACAAAAGACCGGCATAAAGTGGAAGTATAATACTTTCGCGTTTCGTCTGGCGAATGAGGTAGCCGGAGGCCAATTTTCAAAAGGTTGTCAACGCATCTGCAACCCTCGGGTGTAACTCACCCTCACTTGCGACATAAAAAAGTTATTATTACAGAGAAGCACTAATTATAAAAAGGGCATTCTGCGGGTACGATCGTCACCAAACTTTACAGAAACTCCCGCAGGGCTAATCTGAAAATTTCACGTACGTTTTTTTATTTACGTACCAGATTCAGATTTAGAATCAAATCCCGCATATGCTCTGTTATTATGTCCGTCGTCTATAAAATCACCCTGCAGAACTGAATGCGGGTTAATCCGAAGTGATTGAAGTCATATTGGCGACCTTTAGTCATATTGGCGACCTTAAGTCATATTGGCGACCTTAAGTCATATTGGCGACCGTTACCTATGACGGGTTGGGTTTGTTGCTGCGGTTGCTGCTGTTGCATCTGGGCGAGCTGGACACCGGGCACCACGGCGGGCACCAGCTGCACGGCGCCGCCGAGGCCGCCCACGCCCAGCGTTGGGACCTGCGCGAATCGCGAATTTACTCCATCGTAAAGGTTCGTCCAGAGAGTTACTAGACTCCCGTAGAGTAACTCGTTCATGCGGCGTTGTATACGCTTCTAGGTGATCACAGCAATTACGCAAAGCCTGCCTATTAACAGGCTTAAGAAATTTCTTAAAGAAAAACTTTATAAGAAGGATTATTATAGTATAAATGAATACATTAATGATAATAACCCTTGGGAATGAGTTGATCGCTCCCAAGCTATTTATACAAAAACAATTAAAAATATGTTAAATGTAATGTTAATGTTTCTAGAAAAAAAGAGCCGACGGAGCTTTTTTCACCTGTTTCAGTTAGAGGAAACTCATTATGAAACGGTGATAGATTTATAAAATGACCATTAATATATAAAATGTATTTTTCTTAAGTCGACGAATAAATGATTTGATTTGACAAGTTGAAAATATATAATACATAATGGTGTATATTATTTGTTTATTATTCCCTAGAACATGATCATCCCTGTAATTTTTTTTAGTCTTTTTTTAGTATCTGGTTAAAGATAGCTGGATTGATTGCAAACAGCTCGCAGTGTTTTGGACGACTAAGGATGTGCTTCGTCAGAAAACCGTAAATTGCTCGGGAGCGATAGGCTTGGCGAAGTAAACATGGACATGCCATGTGTTGTCAATAATAATAATGCGCTTGTTAAAATATATAGTTATAGAAAGACTTTATCTAATATATAAAATTCTCGTGTCACGGTGTTTGTAATCGAACTCCTCCCAAACTGCTCGACCGATTTTCGTGAAATTTTGTGTGCATATCGGACAGGGTGGAGAATCGGACATCTATTTTTCATCCCCCTAAATGTTAAGACATTTAAATCCCTAAATTTGTTTTTTATTTTTTATATAAATTTTTTTGTTTTAATTTTTTTATAATACAGCTCTACGGCTCTTCGAAAATCATGAATACGTCGATGCAGTTTTCGACCTTTAATTAAACACATTGATCCCGTAAAAACAGAGCGTATATAACGCTCTGTTTTTAAAGAAATAATTATCGAACTATATAATATATTTATCAGACCAATAAAAAAGTAACTTTTTATTGTTTTAGTCCGTCCCGTAACATGCATATTAACACTGGAAAGGGTTCGAAACGTCGAAAATTTAAAAAACTTCATGAATCTTTAAATTAGTATCATTAAGCCTTTGATTATATACTTGATTGACAAGTATATATAATAAAAAGCATCAAACCGTATTTTTTTAGGTGCCAAACACTTAACTTGGCGCAAATTTCGTGCGCTCAGGTGATTTAAAAACGCCACGATAGCGCGCTCAATAATAAACCTTTTTGTTGCGAAGCATGGGAACGCCCAACTGGCGACCTTTCGCTCGTTCGCCGCAATAAAAAAAAGAGACAAAAATGGCTTTAATTACGCGCTAACGTACGTACATTGTCTTTCGGCGGGTCCCGGCTGATCGCCGCCGCCGAGCGTAATTTCCGGGAACCGTTTTTACGTCGCATTTAGGCGCGTCGTATTCCGTATAAGCACACGTCTTCGCCGGTTTCGAAACGATACGTTTTTGCGGGCACAGATAAAATATGTAAACACCACGGGTTTGAAAAAAATTCAAAAATAGATGTCCGTTCAAAGTGAATAAGTTGTGGTCCGAAATTTGTTTATATGCACTAATAATGCTTTCAACTTATTTTGTATATACGTATAACACGGATAAATTTAATTAACTTCAATAAAGACATTGCATTATGCACACGTTTACTTTATTAGCACGTGGATCAATGACTGCTTAGTGCTTTCGAACTTAACAGAACAACGCGCTTGTCCACTCAAGATGGCCTCAGCGTACGTTGAGTTTTTTATTCTAGCGATAACTAGATGGCGCTCTTATGTTTCAATCATACATTTTACATATTATTTTCACCTAACGAATAATCAACATTTCTGTTTCATCTAAATATTTCTGTTTCAATTAGCTTATATAGAGTATAAGTGCAAAAGTAATGCATTTCAAGTCTGTATTTTATCAACACATAAAATATTGTATCGGATCTTTTTTCAGAACCTAAAGCCACGCCACAAAATCGCCACTATCACAATTCATTGAATAGATCTGTATTTCTTTAGAAATGGCTTATTATTCTTTTATTACATAAAAAACTTTATGGCAATTTACAAAGTAATACACATTTATTTTGTTAGACCCGTTAAGACCCTATGTATTAATAGTTTAAGCTAAAATACAAATTTTGTTTACGGCGGAACGGAATATATGGACGATATACCACTGGAATAAAACTGTAAAATTGAAAAAAAAAATTGATAAACTCGCCTTAAGCGTTTCTATGACATTACACAGTACTTTTATAGGACTTTTACCTTGGGTACACGTTTAATGTAGTGTACAGAGAACTCTAATCTTTCCAGGGGAAGTACGTACTAAAATATTTTTAAAGAAATTCTGAAATAAAATTATAAACGTACCTACAAAACAACAATCTTTCCGATATACGTTAAGTAATAACGTTCAGGACTAGCTAACTTCGCGTTGCGCAGTTACTATGCAGATCGTTAACTCGCTATAGGAATGCCAAAAGTGAAGAATGTCGATATATCGATATTTATAAAAATATCAATATTGGTCTCGATCTATTGATGAGTAAATCGATGAGTATATCGATTTCGACATTGAATATTTTATATTATGGGATCATAATATATCGGCCAAAAATATAGATATATCGATATTTTTGGGCATCCCTAGCTCTTTATAATCGCTTTACCTGGACGATGTTGCGCACGTTAGTCTGCGCCGGTATGACGGTGAGCTGTTGGCCAGTGCTGGTCAGTATCTGCGGTTGCTGTTGCATACCAGAGTCGGCTTGCATCGGGTTCGAAACCGCCTTTGCGTCCGAGCAGCGGGTGGATAGTAAATAAATATATATATAATCGTAACACTAGCCCTATATAAACTGTACACAATATACATAATAAATACAACAGTTTGGAGCTCACACAATACAATATTTACAACGATAATCTGATACAATCAAGCAATATGCGTAATTTGATTTTAGATTAGAATTATTTACAAATAGATCATCTTATTAATATTTATACATATTTACAATGTTAGTATAAAAGGCATACGCACTTGGCAAAATAGATGTATGCGTAGATCCGATATCAAATACAAATTTTAATGTCTACCCAAACAATATCTAAGTACGATATATACATTAAGTGATTGCACTGTTCTCCCCTGTTTACCTGCAGCGTGATGGTGGTGGGAGTCTGGGCGCCGCTGACGGTCGCTTGCGCCCCACCGTTGGGCTGCACCAAACCAAACCCAACTTTGTACATACAACTAGCACCACCCTACCCATATTAATTACGTATTAACGTACAAGTATACCGAAAGATATATTCCAATTTGATAATAAGATTATAGGCCACAACACTTAAACACGCCTCTAAAGTATGGTTGCAAAACTTACAATAGATAATAACCAGTATTTAGCTGCGTATATACAGGGTGGCTTTTCTAAGTGTATCCATTTTTTTTATAAAATTCTAAACATAAATAATGTTATATTAAAAATTATAGATATTTAAAATAATTTTATTTATTTATTTTTTATTTATAATTTATGTACACAGAGTTATGGCAGAGATGTAAATAGATGAAATAATTTGTACAAAGGCCCTGCTTATTTCATAAGAAATTTCTTCCAGCAGACCTGCATCATTCTTACGTAATTAATTACATTCATTTGAACTTATCTCAAAAAGTGCGTGATTTATACGCAACTCATTTATTTTACGCGCGATGATTCATAACTAACACATACACAAGTTGGTGCACAGTAAAATTTAGTTCTGTTTTTTTGGGAATAGAATGGCATTTTTTTGGAAAAAAAAACTTTGTTCTTTATTTCAATAAACGATTATACTACCGAGTCTGAACCTCCTGTGTGTACTTTATATATATATAAAGTAATAAACAGTTAAATCGTACACAAGAACGTAATTTTTAGAAAAAATTCAATATACCTATTATAATAAACATCGTTGTGTGTTCTCTACTTTGAACATAAAATACTATATTTTTTAAAGCGTAGTATATTGTTATATGTTATTTTGAGAAAGACTACATTCAGCCGATGAAATGTTGGGACTACTCTGAAGTTCGTCCATACAGCTACATGCGAGAATTTGTGCTTATATCCTTTCTAGTCTAAATCGCTTTCCGTCTCAAGCCCACTACACACACTAAGCATGGTTGCATATGACTTTAACATTCGGTTTTGTGGACTTGCTCTTTGTTACACGATATCCCTGATTTTTTCATTCGACTATACACGTGAAATAAATTGCGCGAATTAGAAGTGTAACGTATTGTGCAACCATTTGGGTGTTATAATTAACAATTTTAAAATATGTTAAAAGAGAATCAAAACCAAAGGTCTGTAAAATCATAGCTGGAAATCACGATCCTAGACCCGTTCGAAAGATTTTAATGTTACGGTATACGACACAAATTAAGACAATGATGAAATACTAAAAAAGCTTCATATAAATCTACAGAAGGGTAAACTTCAAATCCAATAACAACTTGTAAGGAAGTGTGAAAGAAACATATTATACCTTATAAAATACTACAGAAATATATATAGGTACATATAAGATGGAATATATATTTAGATATATTTAACAATGTTAGACCATATTTCCAAAACATGCAAACCAGAATAACGGAGCGATTAAGAAGCGATATCTATGTGTACATGTACATATACATATATGTAATTATGCTTGAAAGTTTTTTCTTGTATGCTTAAATAAATACTGTCAGTAACCAAACCTTAAGTTTAAGTTATTGACGTTATTAAATACCAGTGTTAAGTATTTATTAATATTCACATTGATGTTTGAATGTTGCGTATTATATTTATTTGGTAAATAACTCACCTGAACATTGCCGAGCGACGCTATTTGTATTTGCTGTATTTGACCGGACGGGGTCAAGACGTTTGCGACTTGTGGCTGGGCTTGCATCTACAAGAAATTTTCATTTATACTAGATGGATTCAAATATCCTTCTATTATTTTTCCTTCGTACGTGTTAATTCTTACTGTCTTATAATTCTCATATCGTTCTTTAAATTCTATCTTTAACTAGTCAAGACCCACGACTTGGTCTGCGCTCCTTGTTATATTAACAACTATATCGCTTGTCCCACTTCACCACGGCAAAAACACATCACTGAAAACTTTGTGCTTATAAAAATTGTAGTAATTTGAAGAATAATTGGAATCTAACCAATAGCTTTCATGCATGCACAATGGTAGAACTCTACCATGTTATTTATATAGATTCTGATAAAACATAACTATTTTTATTAAAAAAGGCATCAAAAACGGAATTTTTGTTTATATCACGTTACTCACTCCTGTTTAATTAGGGTTAAAACCTATCCAAAATTTTATATATGGAGCAGGGGGTAGTCGGTTAGGCGGAAGGTAATTTTCTTTTTTTTTTAGTAAGACAGGCAGAGCAAATGACTCAGTGGCGTAGTTGCATAAGCCATTGGCATCGCCGCCGGCGGTCGTGGATTCGATTCCCACTCGCGATAAATATTTGTGTGACTCACAGATAACTTGTTTCAGATACTCTGTGTTTTTCCCAAGGGTGGTTGAAGTCAGCTAGGCGACCGCAAAAACACGAAAAACCGTTTCATGTGTTGTGCCGACCACACTTAGGTGGGATAAGGGGAGGAGAAAGAGAAGGACGGTCGGTAGTCGGCGTTAGTGCGAGCAGGACAGCACCTGCTGCAGCTGCGGTATGATCTGCAGGTGGTGGGGCGCGTGGACGGGCACGTGCACCGTTTGGTACACCGTGTGGCCGTTGCCCATGCTCACGGGCACCTGCACGGGCACCATGCCCACGCCGCCCACGCCGCCCACGCCGCCGCGCACCGCCACGCCGCCACCTGCACAAAGCGCGCCCACGGTTATGCTCAAATGCGTGCTCGCGCGGGGGTCAATGACACCGACGCTACAGCTTGCAAGTTCATTCATTGTTAAAGGTCAATGACCTTCATATGTTTAAACCGGTTTGTAAGTCCAATTGGTGCGTACGCTTCCTGATAAGTACCTAAAAGTTATTTCAAGGCGCGTTAATTTTAAGGCATCTCCCGGTGCTCCTCGTTTATGATCGAAAGTTAAAGTACTTTATTTTTTATTTAATGAATTATAAAATAGAATAAATAAAGCTCGGTAACGACATAAGGGTAGTTTCAAAATAATTCAATCCAATCGCTAAGGTAATGAACCAAATTCAATTTAAAACTCCCGCAAATTAATATATTGATCTGAAAGTTGCAAACTATAGCATATATAAAAATTGCTGAGATTTTCATTTGAATGATAAACTTATTGCCAACAGAAAGTAAACAAGCTATAAACTACTAAACTCTACAAAATTATATTAAAACTAACAGAATTCTAAATGTTTTTAATTTTATGTGATGTAAACACTAAGCATACTATACATGTTAAATGCATTATACTAATGAAAGTGATAAATGGTGAGGTGCGTAATATCAAAGAAAAAGCAAAGAAACCATGAGTAAAAAGCATTGGGAGACTGAACAGTTAAGGACAATCTTGGCTGGAGAGAATCAAACAAAAAAAAACTGTCAAAAAATTTAAAACTAAATACATTTAAATATACAGCGTGTCATTACAACCGCGACAATAAATGAACACACTTCTAACGCTACTTGCCAATAATCGTAAAAAATATAAACGTTAAAAAAATCCATAATTAAAAAAAATATTTTTCAAACAAATTAAATAAGTAGAAAAGAAACTAAATTTGTTACACCTATACAACTACAACTGACTGATTCATACATTCAAACTTTTTCATTCGTTGCCACAGCGTCGCATTACAAGCCTCTCCTTCTAGTAGTATGTTTTTTCTCTTTTAAATTCATTCAACCCATTCATATGATATGTGACCGTTACAAATGAACTTTATGTTACAGTTTTATACGTAAGGATGTTCTAAAATTGTTTGTTTTTGAAAATTTTATAACTCGGTAAATATTGATGCTTAAAGAATGTAAATGTTTAATACAATTTTAAAAAATTATCCTCTATATGTGTGTTCATTTATTGTCGCGGTTGTAACGACCCGCTGTATATAAAACACCATATTAATTTTATTGTGTGGATATCAGATTATTTGTAACGTTTGTACATTGGCAGTTCTGAATAAAGAAACAATAATTCTCTCCAGCCAGCCACTTCGGACAAGAGCCTAGATACCAACCTTGTCCGGCTGGGCTGGTGGGGGCCTTGGCGTCCTTAGCGTTAGCCGCGGCCTTTGCGTCGCCATTTTGCCCACTGGCCACGCTCACGGGCAGCTGCTGCGAGCCAGCTATAGTGATGGCCTGGCTCGTCGGGATCTGAATCCCGCCGGGAATCGAAAAGTTCCCCGGGATCGTGATCATCGGCTGATTGGCGGTGAGCGCGCTCAATGGAATGGTTATGTTAGAGCCCGGGATTGTGACGGTCGCCTGCTGCTCTGTTAGCGGACGAGGCGGGCGGTGTGGGGGTGGGGGTGGGGGAGGCGGAAAAACACAGATTAGTATGAGAGAAGTACGTTAGAAGCCGAAGTGCGGTGCGGGGGCTAAACAGAAATGTTCATGTCCTCGAGATGTCCGGTTAAATGTCATGAATTGTATGGACTTCTATTATAGCTGTGATGGTAGTGACATAATTTTTTTTATGTTACATATTTTTATCAACGTGAAGCATCTTTTGGACACGATCAAATCTCAGTTACGAGAGTATGTTAACCAAGTATAACAGAATGGTACTCATGCATCCAAATAAAAACATTTAAATCAAATTGAAACGATCTTGTCCCCATAACAGAAAGTTTGAACTGAATTTTTAACAGCAAAGCAAGTGAATGGAAAGTCAATCCTGAAGCAATCCAAAAGCTAGGTGATATGTTAATGAATATGTTACATATAATCCAACCGAAGCTGATTCAATGAAAGAGGCTGAGTGATAAAATTGGCATCTTTTAATTTTATTTGCATTCATCATTTACAATGAATCATAAATAATCATTTCTTGAGTAACCATTTGTTTTACAAAAAAATACAAGGAAAGCATAGTGACACATGTTATTAATGGTTGGGTGGTTATAAAATGAATGGCGTACATACAAATAGCAATTGTTAGTGAATTAAATTATGTGTATGAGTTCATTTACCTTTATTATGATGATTCAGTAATATTGTTGAGATACTAATCTATGTTTAGCAAAAAGATCAATTTTGGACAGCCTCGATCATTGCGTCTAAGAACTATGTACATTGTTTATGTATTTTGTGGGCTTGTTGACTCACCAGTGGGCAAGTGCATTACATTTTGGAGGAATCCCGCTGGTAGCACTGGAGTTCTGACAAGTTGACCGTTTACAAGGCTCACTTGACCCATCCCTGAGAAGTTCTGGAAGAAAAATACATGCTCATGATATTTATGTTTAGTTTCAATGATAATAAGATAACCTAAGTTTATTTTGCTCATTGGTGTATACTTACAAACGTTTTTTAAAAATTTAGAAGACCCATGCCAAATATTCGCACAGTAACCATGATCAGTCACCGAATGGTAATTTAATAATTTATAAATAAGTATTGGGCAATGAAAAGTATCTTATTTTTAAGAATAAAGTTCTAGAGCCTGCTTTGCTATCTTTCATTTAAACAAATTGTCATTAAAAAGCACCATCATACATTCTTTGTAAGCAATTTTTGAACAATTTTTTTTTAGTGGCAAAATTACGATTTTAGATGGTGTGCGAATCATTAAATTTGATGAAGAATTATGAAATTTATGGCATACCGACAAAATCACCTTTGGGAAATAATATAGAGAGATTATTGTACGGGGGACAGAGAGGTAGAAAAATGACTTACTTGTGCATGCTGTGCGGGGATAAAGAGTGCATCTTGGCCGTCCACGGTGACCGCCTGCATGGGCGCTACGCCCCCCACTCCCCCCACACCACCCACCAAGCAGCCACCGTACACCCCACCTGCCTGCTGCTGCAATGCAAACGGATATCTCCTTAGTTTCTAATTATCTTGACTCTCTTCATTCGTTTGTGATAGCTCATATCCGAGCGCTCGCCTTTAATTCCATAACTCGAGCAACCTGAGTTCAATCCCGTTGCCAGCACCAATGAAATTGACAATTTTAAATGCTGAATTATTACGTGCTCAGCGGTGAGGGACAACATCGTCAGTAAACCTGCAGATTTTCGAAATAATAACAAAAAAAAATTTCGAAGATATCTAGCCAATCCGCAGTGGGGCCGCGTAGTGGACTATGCCCTGATACCCTCTGTACAGAAGAGGCCTTTGCCCAGCAGTGGGACATATATACGGTGATAATTTCTTTTAGGCGTACCTGATATCATAAATATAATTTATATAAAGTTACAGTGCTTTAATCTGAATATGCGTTATTAAGGTATACACAGACTTGGTATGACCATATCAGTGTTATCAACAAATATTTAGCCCATGTGGGGATCAAACCCACATAACAGAGTGCAATGATTGACAGTTGGCGATAAAATCTTTTAAGCCATTGCGCTATCCATACAGTTCTATTAACTTATGGAAGTTGTTCAACATTTTCCACTAGATATCGCTGTATCCCAGAACACGAGCGACAGAACACGAGTTACGAACAGATTATTTATTATACCTTTACACAGATTTTCTAAAGCTTTAGTTTGTTGGCATCTCGCCATAATAAAATTTGTAAATAATCACCACCGAATTTCCCAGTAACTAATCAAGACCTAAATCAAGGTCCTGGAGTGAACACTATAAAAAGATATGGGCAAATTAAGATTTTCGCGAAAACTTCTTAATACCAAAATTTTGTTAAAAGCAACGTCTACACACACAGGGAAAATTGCGAAAAATAAAAAAAGCTGAAAATTAAAGTAAATTTAAGATTACATTAAAGAAAAACCAGCTTTCATCTAAAGGCGAATTGTGATAATCTAATACTATACATGTTTCTTCATTAACAACAAATCAGGGTTTATGGGACAATATTAAACTTTATACAAATATGTATATTAACACATGACTGAATAATGCTTACTGCATGACTATATCAATATGTAGGAACGGCTTGGTGACATCTCTATCACAACTGTTATTTTCCACACTAACCTGTAACAGTTGTGGATGTATTTGCAGTAACTGCTGTGGCGCGTTCTGGTAGGTGGTTCCATCTCCACTGGACACTACTCCGCCGCCTAGCAGCGATTGCAGCTGTTGCATTGATATTACCTGCAAAAATCAAATCTCCATGTTAGCACTACACTGAATAAATGAACTAATAATTATCCAAAACAAATTAGAAAACTTATATATTCACAAGTATGAATTTATATAAAATAAAACACATAATTTTCAAGTAGATAAGTAATTGAATATATCACTTTTCATTGCACATAGCAGTGGTTATATCTAAAGCATTTATTGTTATTTTAACTGTATATGCTGTAAAATATATTAGTGACATACATATTAAGTTAATTGAGTGTTGCCCTTGTCATCGAAGAAGGATGAAGGAGGTCATGTCATCTCACCTGTGGCTGTTGGACCTGGATACCATTCGGCACAGTGCTAGCTGCATTCACTATTGCTGCCGATAGCTCATTGCCCTGGTGATGAAATAATGTTATTATTATACATTAAGAAATGTGGTCTTATAAAGCAAACCAAATTAATGAAGCTCCTTACACCATTATCCTAATTAGCTGCCAATGTTCCAGTGCATAGTAAATTGTCATAGCATTTAATGAAATATTAAATACACATAACATATTGCATATTCAGACATTGTGACATGTAGGAATATTGTAGACAGTTTGAAAGTATCTAGTACAAACATAATGTGGTTAGGAATGAGCGGATACATGTTATTTGAAGGTGTAATAACTATGTTTTGACTCACTGTTAAACCTTGAGCTCTAAGTTGTTGCACAACTGCAGTACTAATAACCCTCAACTGGGGTTGTTGTTGTTGTAAATATTGTTGCTGAATAGCGGCAAGAGTTGCTGCATCCCCCTGGACTTGTTGTACTAGTTGAGCCTGTTGGACCTGTTGCTGTTGTTGTTGTGCTTGCTGCTGCTGCTGCTGTTGCTGTTGTTGTGCTTGCTGTTGCTGCTGCTGCTGTTGTTGTTGTTGTTGTGCTTGCTGTTGTTGCTGTTGCTGCTGCTGTTGTTGTTGCTGCTGCTGTTGAGCTTGTTGCTGTTGCTGTGCTTGTTGTTGCTGCTGTGGACCTATGCAAACAAAAATCATGTGATATTTGTATTGATAACAATACATTGATACACAATATGATGATTTTCTTCTTGTCCTAAACAATTAACAAAATATTTTGAGAAATATCAAATGATTTTACTAATACCAATTTTTTTCATTTATAAGGGTTGTTGATAACTGTTGCTACATACTAAAATGCTGCTGCTGCTGTTGTTGTTGTTGTTGCTGCTGATCCTTTTCCTGTTGCTGGTCGGGCCCCATATTGGTGGCGCCGAGGCGGCTGCACGTGGCTGCCAGAAGTGCTAATGGAGATTGATTGCCACTTTCTTCCTAAAACATCATTTAATATTTTATGAGTTTTTTTTTATTTAACACATAATATTTATTTTAAATTTTTTTATAAGCGTATCAATGATTTCCATTGCTAACTAATTAAAAAAATTGATTACAAAAAATTTTGATATGTAAAAAGTCAATGTATAAAACTACCAAATTTATTTTAAAAATCTTTTATTATAAAATAAGTTTTTGTTACAACATAGTTTGACACAGGACCCTACTTATTTATTATGCATTTTGTTTAAAGTTCATTAAGCCTAAGGTTATTTTTTGGGATTAATAAGTATTTATGTTTACTGAGACTCGCTTTTGTTGCCATCCTATACTCTGACTCTTAAAAAAGCAGTACCTATTAAATTATTACTACATAACTAAATGTAAAATTAGTGCCCAAAAAATTATAGTAGAGGATTATTTTCTTCTACAAAAGTGTATATGTTTAATATTGTATGCATATCATAAATATGTTTAATATTGCATGCGTATCATAAAAAACAACTGTTTTGGCTCTATAGTTGATGAAACAGATAGTAATCCTGATAATAAACAGTTCTAATATATTCCAATTTATTTTGAACTAAATATTGAAACAGATTCATAAATAATTTAAACACAATTATATGCAAACATATTTATTAAAGATATTATGATAAATTGAAACAGATTATTTGTATATGTTATTTCATGTCTTTATTAAATTGGAAGAAGTGAAATTAAATTATGTAGTTGTTAATCATATTATTTGCTTTATTTTATCTGCAGCTAATTGTGAATTTGAAATTTTGCAGTTATAGTTTAGTGAGTTCTGAAAATTAACTAGTAACTTGAAAACATACCTCACTAGAAATTTTTTCAATATATATGTCTTATATATTTCTTCTAAGCATCTTTTATACTAAAATACAGCTGTACTATTAACTACTGTTAGAACGTAAGCGACGAACAATGTAAACAAACAAGAAACTAAAATTTGTTCAGTCTTAAACAGTAACCATTCACTCATTAAAATGCATTCGTCTCGTATACGCATTTTTAAATAAACTATAATTTTTTAGGCATTCTCAACATACATATCCATGAATGATGAATATAAAGGATCAAAAATTCACGCGGGTCTTTTATACGTATCATGGTGAAGGTTTGTCAAGTATTTCCCGGGCTTTTTTCCTCTTGTATTTTACTTTAGTTTTATTTTCGTGAAACATTTTATTTGTAATAAATCAAATAAAAAAAAGATATACGTTTGATGTTTCCTATAGTTTCATAATCATCTCGAAAATTGAAGTTCTCCAATGTTACAAATTATTATATAGTTTGTTTATTACACTAGTTGAGAGTCGCTCGACACGCCTTTTCCTAACAAGTGCCGGGAGTCGGGAGTCGTTACACGCAAGGCCGCCGCCGCCCTTTGATCCACCCACCTTAGCTCGCGTGACCGCGATTTTTACGAATTCTACTACATTGACTTGATTTACTTCACAGGCTTACAAATTACAAATGCTACGAGTTTTAAATTAAAAATGGTTTTACTGTTTATTCCCGTTTAATGTTGAAAAGTTGAAACGAATTACCACAGCTCTACACTGTGTTAGTCATGAAGACTCAACGTATGGAAATAATTTGCAAAGGACAGTGAACTTGCATTGAACAAAGTAGAAATTCAGGATTTTAGAAGTGGGTGGGTAAGGGAATCTGAAGAGGTTGTTGATGCTATTTCGGCAAGGGAGTAACTCGCGACGCGGTCACAACCTCCCGCGTGTGGCCTGTCGGGCCCCACACGGCCGGGGCCGCGCTTGCCCCGCCCTCCCCCTGCGTCGGTAGACACACGAGACCGCTGCTCGTTGGCGTCCAATCTGTTACACAATAACACTATTGCCATTCACTTTGCACTATTTACCTTAATAATATTATCCTCACTAATATATTCCACCTGCACTTTAGTGGACTCTGACGACATCATCTACTGTACACTTGCAAACAAATATTTTTCTTTGTTCACACACGGAACGCACCATTCTCACGACCGGCCGCCAAACTATGGCGAGCGAACTGACGATTTTTAACGAACGCGTTCGGAAAGCTTCGGAGATCCGCCTCCTATCCCGGTCGTATTAAATGCAGTTATATTCTCTTGCAATCGGTATTATACATTTCAAAAGATGAAAAAGTTCTTAACTATGTTATATGGTATGTTTAGCAACTTAATCTGGAGAAATGTCTTCCTCAGAGCTAAAGAAAACTGTGCAAAGTGCGAATTATAACTTGATGGTGACTATCTCCGTCTCATTCTCTCAGAGACTGGTCTTGATTATTGGTAGGCAGCAGCTGCGCCTCTCTTCTCCTCCCCGTCGCGGGTGCGGCGCCGCCGCCCGATAATAATAATTGAAAGTAGGAAGGACGTAATAATGGGTGTATAACCTCGCGCCCGCGTCCTCCTTGGGCGGGCAAAAAATGCACACATGCCGCGCCGTTTAGTGCGCTTGCCATAACAAAACGTGGCCTGTAAATAAACGATAAGGGAACGGCCACCGGTGCATTCACAAATCTTTGTTCACACGAGTCTGCTAAGATTACGACATTACTAATGTCTGAGAATTTCTTATCGCTGCCGCCCCTAGAAACAAAATTACAATCGTATGAATCCTAAGAAGAAGAGAGAAAGTAATGCATTAACATAATCTTCTACATTTAAGTGCTAATGGAAAATTTAAAATTTTTAACGATGGGATTTAAATTGTTTTGAAATTAATTTAGGAGTACTTTGAAAGCACTTGTAGTGGCTCGAAACGAGAGTGAAAGTAGAGCTACGTTTTGTCAAGCGCCAGCCACGCTTGCCCCAGTCCATTATGCACGAATGAGCAGCCGCCCCGAGAGAGCGTGTGTCCCGGCTTAATTATTTCTAGTTTTTCAAACCTGATTTGAACGTTATTGCTATTGGGATTAAGATTAAATTCAACTGTAATATAAATTCGTTTTACATTTTCAACAGAACTATACTCTATCGAACCGTTCTTTTATTGTCTACCTTATAGCCTTCGAAATATAGTACAAAATGTGCGAAATTACGTTAAGTATCTACAACGTTGTTAGTTTAGATTTAGCTCTATTATGGGTGTACCTTGGCGTGGCAAAGCATGCGGTAGCAGTGTGACGTTATACCGTTTGCGTATGTTTAATTAGTCTTTGAACAGTACCGATGAATTCATCACATTGTATTTTTTGTGAGTTCCATTCAATGATTTGTCGCATCTATCCATATAGATGTTTATTGATCGAATATTGAATGTATGACTTAAAACACGATATATTTTGAATCCGGAAGAAATAATTTCAAGGCTTTGCCTTATAACGTCTTATTCTGGTGAATAGCATAATATGCAAATGTGACTTTATCATTATAAATCGAGTGTGTCACTAAATTTTCGCGGGACAATAATCGATGTGTGCGTGGTGACACAAAACAGTCTTGTTTCCGAATAATGTTTATATCCTTGAATGATTGTGATCGACATTAAAAAATGATCTACTCCTTTACTTCAGTGAGTGGCTATATTAAAAATTTGTGTTTTTTTTTAAATATAAAATAATTAATATACAAAAAGTCAGAATCTGTTAAATATTTTAAAAAAATGTTTGTAATGGCAAATAATCTTTTTGACGTAGAAAATTATATTCTCGTTTTAGATACACTTTTCAAGCTATTTTAAATAAATGAATTTTTTTCCTCAAGATTGTAAAATAGATCGAGAACTGCGGTTCGGTTCTAAACCCAATAACACTCAATTTAGAGCTGTTTGAACGTTGCTTTTTGTATGACTATGAAATAGCTTTGATTAGCATGAATCGTTTGTTTACTTCGGACATTCTATGAAGCAACGGGAGAAACGTGCTCGTGCACTGTAGGATCGCTACCGCTAGGATCCGATAGACGGTGGTATAAGAAGGGTGAGGGACGTGGGCGAAACCTCTTCGGAGCACCTGAAGGTTTCGGAGCGGCTCACGGGATGACGGAAGCGGAAGTGACGGTGGGCGGGCCGGACCGCCCGCGCCACCCGCCCCCCGCCAGACACGCCCTAGCTCCCACGAATGACGCTGCACCTCTAATTAGCCGGTCATTCAGAGACGTCACCGCAGTAATCAGCACGGGTCAATGAACTCGAGTTTGCAGCTGCCGAACCTATTTCGCTCATCAAACGGCAGACCGGACAGTTCCCTTCATTCCAACCGTTGGCATAACGATTTGCACAAGCAATTTTAGAAAGAAGGACTACGATGGTTAAAAAAGAGGGCTGCACTGCACTAGCTGTCTATACATCTACAACTATCTGCTTCACGTTTACTGACGGAATGGCGGGAAAAAATATTTTCTACGAAATATCATTTTCCTCTTGTATTTAACTTTGTAATTGAAAATTAATAAAGAATATCGCGGCCCGTGCCCCATCGTTTGTTACGATTTGTATGCGGCGATACGGCCAGCGGCCTGGACATGAAAGCACACTATAATTAATAACTTGCATGACATGTATGTACCACAGATCAATAAAAAAATGTTTTTCTTGACCAATTAAAAATCATAAAGACTATCAATTTATGTTTCTGCCAATCCGTTACTTCACATTGCGCAAAAATTATTTAATAATTAAAAAATTATTTAAAATAATTTTTTTATAATTGTTATAAAACCTTAATATTACATGTAGGAGAACAATCTTACACAAGCAGTAACATTTCAGTAGGTAGTATATTAAAGAAATGCTTACGTAATTGCGTTATATAATTTTACGTATTGATTTACGTACAGATGTGTAATTATAAAAAAAACTAATATTTATACCTTAAATGCATAAATCAGTAAACATCCGTTCAAGAAATATACCCAACTGTACCTATAACTCTCTAAATTTCGCTTAATTACGTATCAACTTACATACATTATGTAGGTTTTCTTTCAGAGGTTATTACCTAAAGGAAATCAAAATCTGCGTTTTCACTATAATAAGACTTAAAACGAATTTTGATTGAGAAAAGATAAAACTTTAGAATTCGGTATACTATACTATACTATATATACTACGGGCAATGTGTGCGCGAAATACGCGCGCCCTTCCTATAATTCCTCCAGAGTACAGCTAATGTGTGGGAAGTACACGACAGACTGCGAATATCCGTTTATTACGTGGAACACGTTGATCGACATTCGATCGGCATTCATTCGACGAGTAGATCGGCATCGAACCCGAATTCCACACGCCCTGTGCTCAATGAGTCACGGGGTTTCGCAAGCTACGGACTAGCGTATCGAAGATAGTCAAGACGAAGGTCGTCCGTATCTGTATCCGATAGCACTGCTTCCAGGGCCGGATTTAGAGGTCTGGAGGTCTCGGGTCAACAAAGTAGTGGAGGCCCCTTTTCCCCAAATTGTTTTCCAAATAAAATGAACAATTTTTTTCAGTCGTGTTTTCCAATAAATAATTTATTGTGAAACCAAGTATCTATAGATTCTTCTATTATTAGAATATATAAATATAATCTCTATTATAGGTGCCCCTCTTTTGTGGAGGCCTCGGGGCTATAACCCCGGTACCCTCCCCTAAATGCGGCCCTGACCGCTTCGATCCCAGTTGCGGGCGGTTTTACGAAATACTTACATTTAGAAGAATAACCACTCTTTGTGGTTATTCCTCTACTTGAACAACGATAGATAGCATGTTGTCAAATAAATAATCAAGGCCTTGTATAACTCAGCGATCGCTCAGTGGTCTCGACTTGCGCGTCAAGTTCGCTGGTTTGAATCCCGGTGTCGAGCCAACGAGATATCGGTCTGATATTTGAACGCAGTGATGGGACAGCGGCTAAGGCGTCAGGGGTCTTGCGAGTTTCGGGTTCGAATTTCAGTGACACGTATTTAAGTTTCTTATATCCAAAGAGCTAAGTGTCATGGAACGAGTGGCTTGGAACTTTTAAGCTCGGTGCAAAGTAACTTCCCTTGATTACACCATCAGGGATTACTAACCTAATGACTCTCCAGATTCGATTTCGGCTGTTTCTTTGAACTGTCCCTCGCTGCATAAATATTTTAGCGAATAACAAGAATGTTAGACATTCTTGTTATTCGCTAAAATATGACAAGAATGTTAGACATTCTTGTTATTCGCAAAAATATTTATTTTTACTACCTCTATCGTAAAACCTTATAAATTAAACAAATTTAACAATTTTATTACTTCTGCTTGTCTCTAAAGTAAAAAATATAAACTATCAGTCCATACATGTCCATAGGCCTGTACAGAAGAGGCCATAGGCATAGGCCTGTACAGAGGGTTGAAACCCTGATGGGGCATAGCATAGTCCACCCCACGGCTCCACTCCGGGTTGGCGGAATTCACATATCTTCGAAATATTTTTGTTATTATTTCGAAAACGTGCAGGTTTCCTCACGATTCTCACTTCACTGTTGAGCACGTTATAATTCACTTAAAGTAAAAATTTCATTGAACATGGGGATCGAACACAGGTTACTCGAGTATATTGAATTATAAGCCAGCGCCCGGATACTGAGCTATCACGGCTTATTTAGTACATATAATTTATTATTATTAATAATTATTTTATAACTTATTTTACGTACAATAAAGTTTAAAAACTCATCATTTACATAGTCTTATATCTGGTGAAACAAAAATAAAAAAAAATTTGCCAAATTATAAAAAACAACTACCGCAGAGAAGCGTTACAACTTACAACATTATGTCAACTCTCAGTTGAAACGATCAACATAATGTTCAGTATATTATATGTTTTCGGACCTGACATTTAGATAATGAATTATAACATAACCGAAATCAGAACTCATTGTCATAGTAAATCAAATATTAAAAAGTATTCGTGCGCAAAATCGTCGTCTATTTTTAGTCACGCGTCGAGTGGCTCCCCTAATTTTCTTGTACTAAACAATTCATAAACACGCGGATACGGCGCACCCACCCACCACCGCCCGCCCGCACTAGCAATCCGCGGGGGCGTTACCGCCGCCCTAAGTCGCTCTCGGACCCACTTGACGCAGCAAACTTTTTCCCGCCAAATCCACTTTAGCCGTCGCGTCGGCGAAACTCGACGCTTGATTGCTTACTTTTTTTTTACACTTTTTTAAAAAGCTTCCTTTACAGCTATATTTATAAAAATAAATCCTTAAAAGCTATATTTATAAAAATATCAGTTTTATGTCATAAAGGTAAAGGATGATCGGAGCCAAAGTTGGATAACTGGTTGTACTCTCCCTTAAACACTCACTTTACTTGCAAGTTATGTTGAAACTTTTTTAATATTAATAATAAATGTTTCAACATGCAAATTGAATATATGTCAAAATGTTAACAAAATATGTATTAGTGAAATTATATTGCCTATGTCATGAAACTCCTGCCATGATGGTTTTTATCTATCCTATCAATGATTATAAAACAATATAAATTTTTATAGGTAGGAAAGTGGAATATAAGTTTCAAAAATCATGTCATTGTCGCTAGACTCACCAAACATATTCGTTCAAAGATCTAGTGCAGCAATATCTGTTCAAAGCGTAAACATTGTTGGTTTAAATCTTTCGGAAACCTTTGTTTTGACATCAAAACAATCAACTGATCGTATTGAGCATTCGATACGTAAAGAGATTGAAGAATATTTTAAATGTTGATATCACGTTATTATATAGGTAGGTTGAGATCTCCTATTAAATGGTGAATATTATAGCGGTCAGTACCAGTAGTAGTTTTTATATTTTATTATTTTATATTAATTTACGCCCCGTGCGTGCTCGTATAATTGTGAATAGAAAAATGTTCTAATGTTACCAGACTCAGTCAATGAAAAGGAAATTTAAAAGAAATATATCATCCAAAGTCCATCATGCGACAGGGTCTGCGCCCTGTACCGGGGTAATACTGGCATCGGCTTAGTTACGGTGGTACATAAATAAACAGCCAAATGTTATCAATTTATTACGAAATAATTGGATAGCTAGACCGACCTTTGGACTGTCAGTTTATGTGAAAACGAAATATTTTTCTATATTTTACAGAAAATAAACTACTATCCTAGTTTTCCTACGTTGTGTCACGGCTTAATTCAACATACTAACGTAGTAAATGTTATTGTTTATGGATACATTGTAAGTTTGCCTGTCTTAACTAGCATTAAAAAAGAATGAATTCATTAATTGTCAAGATCATTCTTAAGTTTACACACTTCACTATAAGAGTACCCCGGGACAGAATGCATACAAGCATATTCTTAAAAGCTATACCGTATAGGAATCCTCCAGGTGTACATTCAACATGTTGTTATATAACATTTTGACGCTTTGGTAACTCGAACGAATCCGAAGGGACCTCGTGAAAGCGCAACCGCGTACAAGTAAAGTCTGATCGATTGCCAATATCCGAATGCGTGCGGATGACACGGTAGAGTCATCATTAAAGTTTTCGATGAAAGTGCATGTCTGGAAATACATGGAAAAATGTGTACAATTCCCAACGCATTACCAAAACATTGCAATGTCAAACACATTACTTTAATAATTTTGGCCACAATTAAAAAGTTAGATTTTATTTTTAACCAAGTAACAACCAGTTCTAAATATCTTTGTTTCTAACAGTTGGGTATTCAAAGAACAGGCTGTTTTATTTATTTGTTTTCTTAGAAATTTAGGTAACAAGGGATAATAAAAGAATATACGTAATAAGATTCAAAATTTATTGCACAATAAACACGTACATATCTAAAAGTTGATTTGATTGTTAATAAACATTACGCCAAGCGTAAATCAACAATGTATAATTTATGTACAAAAAATAATTCATATACATTAATTGTAGACAAATAAAATGTTTTGATCGCCTTTAAAATGTGTTTTTTAAACTTATTTCGATGACATTGAAATAAATTAATAGTATATATTATAAATAAGTTAAATACATCAATTTAAATTGGGATCACTTTCAAGGCGTATGGAACTTAGAAGATTCTCGTCTAATAACTTTTAAGCAATTATTTGATTCTACGCATAGTGGATAATAAGGTAGCTTGCCCAAAATTGTGACAGCTTACAGAAAAGTAATGGATGAATGAGGAACATTCTACGTTGTTTGTAATAAATTAGGTGGAGTAGATTTTAACTCTATGTTTCATAAATAATAATACTCAAAACTAATAAGTTAAGCTTATATTATGTTTATTTTGTTGAGATGTGTTCTAAATCTGAAACAAACAACAAAGCGACGTTAATTTGCAAGTTATACTAAGAACAAAGACATCTAACGTCACGCTGATTAAGTTTTATCTCTGAAACTGAATCGAATTTCGAATGTTGATATAACAAGAACTTTTGGCGTGAGTTAACATTTAGCCGACAGATGGCGTTCATAATGTAGAATTCTGACAGTTATATGAATTACGTATAGAGGTCTCTGGAAACTAACAGGTAAAATAAAATATTGTATCACGTTTTTATGATGAGTACTAGGATATTAAAGAGGGATACCGTTAATAAAAATAAATATAAGAAATTATGAAATTAAAAATAGCAATTGATCGGAACAGCATATCGTAATTTTATTAAATGTAAAAATAATATTTTTAAGATAATAATAGAAGCATATTGCTTATTTACCTTAATACATTTTAGACTTGTATCACCGAGGGCCATTTTTAATTATTAAGAAGAACAGTTCACAGAGTCAAATAAAATATAACATACTTACTACTAGCCGCTTACAAGCCGCCACCGCTCCTCTCTACCGTAATCTTCTTCTTGAGTGCTTCTCTTTCGTGATGTTCCTCTTCCATCTCGGCCATGCGCGCAAATCGTGAATACGCCACATGACCGGACTTAATGGCCGACATCATCTGTTACAATTTGAAATTAAAAAAAAATATATTAGTATAAAATTAACACAATAGTTTAAGATAAAATTATTTAATATTTCCTCAGATGCCATTTAATTTTCTAATTTAAATTCGGAACACGTCTTTTACACATTAGAAGTTGCAAAGGAAAATTATGAATTGAAATAGCATATATTTGAACAATAAAATATTAATAACTTATTATACTCATACAGAGAGGCTTTTCTAAGTGTATCCATTTTTTTTTATTAAATTGTAGACATCATTAATGTTATATAATAATGATAAATATTTAAAACCACTCGTAATTAATTAATTACATTCATTTTAACTTCTCTCAGCAGTGCGTGATTTATGGGCAACTCCTTTATTTTACGCGCGATCATTCATAACTAACACGCACATAAGTTCGTTTCAAAAGTACGACGCATTTATAAATGACTATCGCATTGTCAACAAGTTCTGTTTTATAGTGAATAGAAAGGAATTTTTTTTGAAAAAAAAAATGTTTGTTTTTGTTTCAATAAACGATTATACTACCGAGTCTGAACCTCCTGTGTAAATTTGGGTACCTTTAGAAAAGCCAACATGTATAGATACATATAAAATTAATATGCAAACAGGTTAATTACTTTAAGCTTTAACATATTTAATGTTTTAGAGACGTAACTATGCAAGCAAACTAAAAGCAAAACTAAAATATCTTTTTGAACCTTCAAGTTTTATGAATATGGTTTGTGTAAACTCCCACATAATTTTCCCACAAATGCACACAAATAATTCGCGGAACAGCAAGACACGCGCATGCTTAAAACGAAAACATGAAGGTAAAAAGTAAACTAACGAAATGAACAATACATAAAAAAACAAAGTGTGAAATGATTCTCAATGCTTTGTTAGATGTTTCAGATAAATCAAAGAAATTAAAATAAAATAAGTCTCGAGCACAACACCAGAATTTTCTTAAAAATATTAACGGATTTTATCGCGTTTATTTCAACCCGGCAACGCTGCAACTCAGTACAGTGGTCCCCCGGTAATTCGGCCCTGTCTAATCCGGCGCCCCATGTAATCCGACAAGCCTATCACTATGAGTATTTCTTGAATTTAGGTACCTACACAAACACTATTTTGGCAAATCTTCAATAATGTAGGTAATGCATTGAATGATTACCTACTGTTTAATTGCAACTTGTACGCGCCATCATTACACATAATTATGTAATATGATTTTTATTTCAAATAGAATCTTATCATTTTGATTTGTCGTTTGTCGAAATACAAGGCACACTTTTTAAAAAAAATCTGACTATAATATACCCAATAACGGGGTCTTAGGCATTAGTACTCTATGATCCCACAAGTTCGATAGTCCGACATCACCTTGCAAAACGTTCGTCAGAGTACCGGAGTTCCATCACATTGCAGTGTTGCTAGTATGACGCGAAATATTTAAATCATAGCGCGATAGAATTCGAAATAAGTAGATTGTTTGTACATCGTTCGCGTAATTTCACCTGGTGTCTAAATAATAATCAATGTTAGCTTTATTCATGCATATCAAATGTATGGACCTGCAGATACTCGTCAAGTTCGACCTGGCCGTTCATGTTAGTGTCGATCTCGCGCAATATTTCGTGCAACTGCTCGCCGGTGACGTCCTCGCCGTAATTCTGTGGACAACGGTCCGCACTCAACAACGAAGATCCTATACTCGGAATGGATTTGTGCGAAATGATCGAGACCCGATGATGAAGATCCTAATGTCTACCGTTGTTGCGTCTATATCCCCTTCCTCGTGTGACATGTTTTAGAGTTATTGTTCTCTTTATAGCAAAAGATTATACATTTTACTTCATTGAAAATAAATCTACGAACGCAACGGCTTACGACTTAACGAAGATTAACGCCCGGTTTCTGAAACACTGATCATTGTAGAAGTTAACTAATCAGCTGTCAAATGGCTTTTCAAATGTTATTTGAGTTGCTAAAATGATGGTTAAACTCTGTGAATTGTTCAGAATGATCTTCTTAGTGACTAGAATGATCAATTCAGAGAGTTTAACCATCTTGTTGGCAACTCAAATGACATTTGAAAAGCCATTTAACAGCTCATTAGTTAACTTCTACGATGATCGGTGTTTGAGAAACCGGGCGTAAGACAACTCGAAAACACGTGACACTTGTTCGCCCAGTTCCCGCTAATACAGCGTACATAACACATAACATGGATCCTCCTAGAGCTGCCCCATCGGCTCTACCTGCAGGTAGTCCTGCAATTCCAGCTGGCCGTGGTACGTCGAGTCAATTTCGGACTGGAGCGAGGTTATCTCCGCGTCGGTCGGGTTAACGCCCATACTCTACAACATTAGTTAGCAAACAACTGAAGTATACACATGAAAAAAAAATATTTTTTTCCTTCCAATGTTCCATTTACAGACGAAAAGCTCGTGTAGAGAACGAAATGTTGTTTAAACGTTATAAATAGAAATGGACGTTGACTACTTTAGTATGTGGTTTATTCCCTTACCATGTCCAAAAACAATTAGTTTTTATTTTAACATTTATACAATTTAATATTTTTAAATAAAATCTAAAATTATACAAAATTAAATTTTATTCATATAAAATATTTGCTCTTTCATTAAATTATAAATTAAACTATTGCCACAAATCAGGTTACATTTAAAAGGACCACTTTAAAAAAAATGTCATTTTTAGCTACAACGTCCCAAACATGGAGACCATCAAGATTTTCATCGAATTCAGTTTAATGAATATTTATCTATAGTATTTCAAGGTAAAGTTTGTGAAACGGGTGTGTCATATCATTTTACTATTTTAGTGCCGCCGAATGGCGATTAGGATCACCTTGTGAGGTATATGTAAAGGCTGATGCGTTACCTTGAGACTCCTCCTAATGTCGTTTATGGATACGAAGCCCTTCCTATCCTTGTCGATAATCTGGAACCGCTTGATGTAGGTCTGGATCTCCTCCTTGCTGAGGTTGATTGGTATCTTGTCCCGACTGGCGCGGTTCACCATTTGGCCCATTTCATTTGCAAGGAACTCGCTCGCCATCTTGATTTGACGCTGCGAAGGGAAAAATATTATATTACCATGGTCTACTGTAATCGGGTAAAGGCGCTTTTAACGCCAATTAGTAAATAAAGCACCATAAAGAAGGGCACACAATATCCGGAACTGAACTTCAATTATGCGAAGCACGTTCAAAGAGATATTCAAGAATCATGGCGAGTATTAATCCGTAATCTGCCTAAAATGCGTAAATGTTCATAATTTCTTTTGCGAACGAGTTCTTCATATGCACCAATCACTCCCGCAATTGACGATACCAGTAGAGTCGCGGGAAGATTCCTTTACAGACGAGTGTGGTACTCGCGTCCTACATTTATTCTTTTATTTATTGGGATATAAAAAAATTGTACATTAATAAATATACATAAAACAGAATTCCGAAGAAATAAAAAGAGTAAGTCAGCTCCTAGCCTAATAATGTACCCGTTCTTTTAAATTGATTTTGTGAAAGTAAAAACAAATAACAATTTACAAAGAGTTAGGTACTGCCACTGCTGGGCAAAGGTCTCCTCTATACAGAGGGTATCAGGGCATAGTCCACCACGCGGTCCCACTGCGGATTAGCGGACTTCACATATCTTCGAAATATATATATAATTTTTGTTATTATTTCCAAAATATGCAGGTTTCCTCACGATGTTTTCCTTCACCGCGGAGCACGTGATAAGTCAGCACTTAAAGTTAAAAACTTCATTGGTGCCGGCACCGGGGATCGAACTCGGGTTGCTCGAGTATATTGAATTAAAGGCGAGCGCCCTTAATTCAATATCCCCGACGGGATATAACGAATAAGGAATACACTCGGATATCCCCGACGCCGAGGCCTTGGCAACCGCGCCACGGAGTCAACACGATAATAGTATGCTGTAGCCAACGAAGCATTGACCCCCCCCCCCCCCTACCCCCCGCCCCTATATAATAATGTCGCCTGCCGGTCGATAGCTCACGTTCTTCTCGGCGTCGCTCCACTTGAGCTCCTCGGCCATGATCTCCGCGATGGCGGGCAGCGCCTCGGCGGCCGCCTGCACGTTGAGGAACGCGAGCCGCAGCCGGCGCGCGATCATGTCCACGGCGGTGCACGCGTACTCGCGCACGCCGTACCTGGGCGGGGCGCGACGGTGCGGTCAAAGTGATATACACGCCCCACAGTAAGTGGCCAAAGTCTGAGCAGCCCTTGGTGAACAAGCCGATAGTTTCTTACACGTACTAACAGCCTTTATACGCCCCGCAGCCTTTTAACAACAATCCGATCGTTTCTTGCACATATAAGATAACTGCCAATATACATCCCACAGTTGGGTAAGAGTCCTTGGTGAGCGATCATTTCTTGCACGTACCAAAAAAAACGGCCTATGTATTGTGTCCTATAGCTGGGCATCACTAAAGAACCCTTGATGAACAATCCGATAATTTCTTACACATAATAACACCCTATATATGGCCCACAGCTGGGAAAACCGCAAAGAACCTTTTAAGAACAATCCGATAGTTTCTTGCACTAAAAAACCTATACAGCGCTGACACAGGGGTAGAGCAAGAAGAGCGGTCGCTCTAGGCGACAGATTATTAATTAATTAATTTTCATATAAAATAAAACTTTGATTGCGCCTTTTGAAAGATGAGGGATATTTTTAGTTTACTAGGAAACAGATTGTATTACTTAGATTATGATAATAGGAGCGTTGTTAATTTTGAAAAGCGGGAGTGTATCTAATAATTGGAACAATTTAATTTCATTTTGAATTTGTATCAATTAAAAAAATTTGATATTATGTTCTTCATCAATTAGTTATTACAATACCTACATAGATTACAGATTTTATTATTGAGTGGCGTTTTATTTAATTGAGTTTTGTTCCTAAGTACCAGAATTCAGTTCTACTTACGAACACTATCACGCGCTTTATTACTGTTACTCAATTACGGGAACACGCCGAAATACCTGATTTCGGCGTCGATGTAAGGGAATTCGGGGTGTACTTTCTTCCCGATGATGGGCCACCTCTTGCCGGTCATTGAGGCCATCTTCGCCACTGCGAAAGCCCTGTCACCGTAGGACTTCGCCAAGTGCTGCGCCACCTAAAAATCGAACAGAATAGTCAAATAGATAGATCTAATTTAGGATATCTTTTTTTGTTAATATAGTCCTTACTGTAGAATAAAATTAACCTGTGGTGTAAGAACGTAACATACATAAATTTCCAGATTACGGTTTATCACGGCTTATTTTATCTTAGGGCTGGCACAATTTCTTACCTCCATTTCGAGGCCGAAGTCTTGCACTAGTCTGATGTACATAGTGGGGGTCCAGCCGTGTGCACCCTCGATCAGGAACCCGTCGGTCTGGCTCTCCTTGTATAGCGGCTTTAGATTGGCACCTGCAGTTCAGACGTTAGTTTATCAACTTAACTTACCTCTTTTATTTTATGTTTTAGTATATAGAAACATCAGAAATGAATGGTCTTCGTTTTTGATTATTGTCATAGTTTTTATTTTTGTTTTGATTACGATTATTATAACGTATTTTTCAAAAATGCGTAATTAAGTCAATTCTACTATAATAACATCCAAAAGGTTTTTATCACATTGTTATTTTATCAGCTCCACTCAGTGTAAACTCTACATTAGTTTATAGCACTTCGCTAGAATTAAGTTGTTCATTTGTGAAGTCATCATCAGTTCTTAAGGAATTAATAAGGCATCAGAGATAGTTAACTAGAAAAAAAATAATTTGTGAATCATGGTCATCAGTTCTCTAGTTATTAATATGACCTTCGTAAGCTATAGAGCCTAAATTTAATACTTAAAATAAAATTTGGATTAGCCACTAATGGTTCTAACATGATGAACGAATCGAATTAAGAATGAAACAAGAGCACTTCACCAGAATAAAATTCATTCATTTGCGAGAAACATTTATCGTCATCAGTTTTTAAGTTATTAAAATGACCTTCGAAAGCTAATTTCGAAAATTTAATTCGAAAAAGAATATTTCGACCAAGAACCAAGATAAACGAATGAAGGAAGAACGAATGGAAAATGAAGGAAGGAGTAAGCGCTCACTCTCAATGGCGGTATTATAAGGTATGACCATGACATTCAAAAACTGTAAACGAGACTAAATTTATTTGCAGAAAGTTTCGACTAAGAACGAATATAAACGAATGAAGAAAGAACGAATGGCGAATGAACGAAGGGGAAAGCGCTCACTCTCGATGGCGGCGTCCACTGTCTCGGCGGCCATAGATCGGTAGGTGGTCCACTTGCCGCCCGCGATGGTCACCAGCCCGGACGGCGACACGTGCACGATGTGGTTGCGCGCCAGCGACTGCGTGTCCGGCTTGTTGGGGTCCGACACCAGTGGCCGGATGCCCGACCACGCGGACAGCACGTCGCCGCGGCGCACTGACCGACATAACTTGAGCTTTACGTCATCGCTAAGGTGCGGTAGCGTCTTAGCGTCCGTGATATAATCACGACATATTTATCTTGCAAATCACCAATTGGGTAATAGAGTACAATTGTTTATTTTTTGTTGTTGTAATGTCACGCCGGATTGTATTTATGTATATTATAAAAATAACCACTCCGAACGAACTTTTATATTTATCGAAAATAATTTCATAGTGCCAACGTGGTGATGATTATATTGATTTGAACGTTGACACATAAATCGTGATATAAATGTGCTCTCTTTTCGCAGTTTGCAAGCAGAAATCACTGTCTGCAGTATTTTTCCACGCATTTTTTAAAAGATGGTTAACAGATTTAAATTTGAGCCAAGCAGTAATTTTTTCTGATTATGAAATAGGACGCTTCGACATGTACCTCAGCCTATCACAAGTGATCATATCTTTTCGTGTCTTGAGTAAGATAAGGCTTAACAAGGAATCCATTATTAATCATCTTTATTCATTACCATACATAATGATTCTAAGAACCTATAGGTTTTAATGAGTCAATTTACGAGTATCAAATATATAACATAGCATTTTGACATAATTTTGAAAGAGAGACAACAAAGTGATCTTATAAGGTTTCAGTCCCTATCGTATGAGGTACGGCACGCTAAAAAATGGCTCACCCTCAACATCAGGGTTCAGGTAGTTCTTGACCTCGGTGAGGATGAACAGGATCTCGTCCTCGGTGGGTTTGGGGTTGTGCGTGACCTTGCAGGGCAGGTCAGTGGTGCCGGCGATGGTGCCCTTCAGCCAGGGCAGGAAGAAGATGACTCGGCCGTCGGACGTAGCGGGATCCAGGAGACCCATGTGCTCTGGGCTGTAATGGCAATTGGCACAAGCTCGTGATATCATAATTTAAAAAAATAAAACTGGCCAAGTGCGAGTCGGATACGCCCACGAAGGGTTGCGTATCATTACGGCGACAGACAGACAGAGTCTTAGTATTAGGCTGACCAAAGAGTAAAACGGAAGACGGCCCAAAGTAGCCTATAACAGTCCCATAGCTGGATAATGGCCTCATCTGTACAGGGAGTATTAGGGCATAGTCCCCCGTGCTACCCCACTGCCGATTGGCGGAGTTCACATAATATTTTCGATTTTTTTGTTATTATTTCACAAATGTGTAGGTTTCCTCGCGATGTTTTCCTACACCGCTGAGCACGTGATAAGTCAGCGATTGATATAAACAACTTCATTGTTGCCGGCACGGGGGATTGAACACGGGTTGCTCGAGTATATTGAATCAAAACCGAGCACCCGCACGACGAGCTCTGTATTACGTAATCTGTGGCACCCCTTAATTATCTGTGGAATGTGTCTGGAAGCCCGCCTTAAATTCAGTACATGTGAGCAACTCGATTTAATATCCCCGATACGACAACAATAAAGATATTATTAGCAATCGTATGTATTGATTTATCATGTGTCCGTTTTAAATAAAGTTCAATGATTATAAAAAAATATTTCCAGCATTCATGCGAAGTTTATCTGCATTGGGGACCTTTACAGACTAGGACAATGACCCACAGTCAGTAGCGTGACATGTATACATTTCTTTCTGCGCGTTGCTATCAATAAATCTTTAGAAAATGCCGTTATGTTGAGCAGTGCCGATGCTCGATTCATATGCGAAAAAAAATTACAAGGATAGGAAGAAATATCTTTCATTTAGTACACGATAGGGATGGTCATAATATTGATTATAAATAATATTTATTATTTAGTACAAGAGAGCCATCTCCCTATACTCTCTGAATATTAATTATAAATATTGTACTATTTATTAATAGCCAGGATTTCTTTGGTCATTGACGTGCGTATTTCTGTTTGTTTAAAGCTTTATGCGTGAAACTGAACAATATAAGAATAGCACAATGGTTTAAAAATGTTTATGACCCAATTGGCGTAGTAGATAGTGAGGTGCCAGAGGGTGTTGGTACGATTCCTAATACTCCAAAAATATTGTATGATGAACATCATATTTTTCTAGTGCCTGGGTGTTTATTATATTTATTTATTATTTTAAATATTTGTTAATCGAACCTGTAGTATCCGGGCAGGACGATATGGACTCCGGAGGAGGGGCAGCAGATTTCCTTGACAGTGTCGTCGTCCATTTTCCTGATGCTGTCCGTGAACGGTCCCGTCGCGTTGATTATACTCTTCGCTTTAATATCCCACTCCTTGCCCGTCATCTCGTCCTGATGACATATTGTTAAAAATTCTATCCAACCGTCATTGGCGTAAATATTAGAACGGCGTAGAAGTATTTCAGAATTAAACAATTAATGTGCATATTGTGATTTTTTTATACATATAATGTTATTTAAAGACAATTTACCAACGTAAGTGGCAAAATGTGTAGATGTTTTAAAATAAAATTGATCATTAACAACTATAATTTTAAACGAACGAAAATGTGAACTGTTAACAAAAAATAATGATAGCTTCACTACAGAAGTCTTAAAACTTTGTTCGAGAGGCACGAGTTAAGTTGGTGTCGCGCATCGCAATTGCCGCAGCACATATACTTAGTGCCCCCACGTTCTCATTGACCACTCATTAGAGTCCATGAGTCGTCCGCAGAGTATAAATATCAGTAAAGTGTTTCGAAGCATACTTAACATGATTGGTTTCAGTTTTTCGGGTCGCGTTTTCATGGGATGACAGGGTATTCTTTTAAAAAATAGGTTAAGGAGCCATTATCTGTCTGTCTTGCTCCTTTCTATCTCTCGATAGCTCTCTTTTTTCCTTTTTATTTCACTCTTAACTCGATGATCACTCACAAGAGGTATGTTTCTCTTATTACTTTAATTGACATTTTCATTCGGGCGAATCCCGACGACATGGGTTCGATTTCCACAGCGGCGAAAAACTTTTCGTACTTTTACTAATCTTAAGTGCAGAGATTAACACAAAAAAATGCTATTTTCTTCTTTTTTTCATGAACCTACTACATCCTACCCATTAACAATTCTGGAGTTGCTTGGAAGAAATTGCTGTGTAGCAATAAGGTATTTTGATTGATTATATTCTTTATTTTTGGTACTTTTTTTAGTTTTTCGTGTACAAGTGTGTAGTATTATTATTATTTAATATTATTCTGCAAAGTCTTTTGCATGTTTGTAGTTGATGTGCGCCGTGTTAGTGTGTTAAGTGCTGTGGCACTAACCCTGAGGCGCGCGCCGCTCAGCTTGCCAGCCGTCTTGTGCAGTTTGGTGACGCTGACGTGGTTGGCGATGGTGGCGCCGTGGCGGGCGGCAGTAAGCGCTATAGCCAGGTTCATGCGCGCGTCGTCTTGCTGCCCTGGAGGGGTCACGTGACGTTAAATCGATTGATAACCAGATTGGGTTAGTGGGTAGTAGACCTGCCTCTTGCGCTAGAGGGTGTGGGTTCGATCCCTACTACTGGTATTATGTTTAATATGTATTTATTAACAAAAGAAAAGTATGTTTAAGTGTGTAGTATCAGACTGGCGAACGTTGTGTATAAAAGTGTATGTTTTTTTTTTTAAATAGTGTGCCTTTTTTTAATTTAAGTTTGTGACACGTGTCGTTAAATCGATCCAATTCGGTGATAAAACTAACCTTCAACCTTTTATCTTCAACATTAAAAAAAACAATCATTATTTATAAAAATTAGTTTCCGTATATTCGGATCAACAAAAACCAAAAAATAGCTGATGGAATGGTTTGACATTGGTTCACAACATAGCTGATTGAACAGGAGAGTATTTTCATGTACTTTTTATTTCGAAGTTTCAACGGAATTGATAAAAAAAAAGACTCGGCTAAGCGTAATATATACAATATATATCGAAGATATAAGAAGAGTAAGAAGTCAGTTGATCCGCTCAGTACATTTTTCGTTTGGGGTAACTTATATCTAGTCTTACTAAAATCCCAAGAGTAGCTTTGAAAATGGAGATACAATTTCACTTACCGTCGTAATAAACGATCCCTCCGCAAAGATTATCAGATTTCAGCATGGGAAATAGTTCGAGGGTGTTCTTCTTCGATAAATAGTAGGAGCTCTTCACATTCCTATCGCCCGCCACCAAATCGTACATTTTGATACCGAACCAGTAATATGGAACTTGCCACCACCTGAAAGGAATTAATTTTCAAAAATAGTTTTAGTTATTATTAAGATAATAATAAAGTATTAAGGTAAATTATAACCTTAATCGTAACTAATGTTTATAAATCCAAAATATATAGATTTTGAAAAATATAAAAATAATAATTTGGTCCTTCAAGCCGGATCTTTGTTAATTAATAAAGAGCTGACGTAAGTTATTCTTATTTCTATACAAGTAAAAACTTAGTATTACTCTTGATTTATTGTTTGCGTAGAGAAATACGCGCTTGTACTAAATTCTAATACTGTTATGAATACCAAAACGGAACATAGCTAACGACAGTTCGCGTTCACCCACTACATTAATTGGAAACTTCACTAGGACCTACTCACTTGTACACCGGTAGCAGAATCGGGAGCGGGCGGGTCAAATGGGGCGCCACTTCCAGCATGTTCGCTCGCTCGTGCAACGCCTCCTTGACCATCTTGTACTGTTCGTAGTCGAGCTGCATGATAGCCTTCTGCAGGTAGCGGACGCCGCCATGGATCAGCTTGGTGCTGCGACTGGATGTGCCGCTCGCGAAGTCGTCCGCCTCCACTAGGGCCGTGCGGAGACCTGGAAATAACGATATATTCTTCTAAATGATTCCATTTTTACACGAATTAAACAATATATTCTTCTCAATAGTTCCATTTTTACATGAATTAAAGTACAAATAGAATGTAATGAAGGTAATGATGAACAAATTAAATGGTCACACACCCTGGAAATTAATCAAGGCTTTTTCAAGTGGACATACATTGTAAACAATAACATTGTTTAGTGAGTTTCTTTCACCGGTTCTTCCCAGGTCAGTGGCTTTTCTTTTCCGAACCGGTGGTAGTGTTTTAACAATCAATAAATAACTTAATGCTTACTTATTCTTAATTGTACTTATTGTGTCTCAGTATAAAGAGATTTGAATTTGAATATGAGATTTCCACGAGCTGTCCCCTACCCATTTAATCGTGTCTAATTGAATGTTTAATTTGATGTACAAATGCGTTATGATTTGCCCTGTTTAAATTTTGATTTTTAGTATGTTAAATATACTAAAAATTTAACATACTAAAAATCAAAACTATAATTTAAAATATTGTGTTCATTAATAAAAATGTTTCCGTTTAATATGATTGCCATAGTCAATTTCAATGGGATTATATTATTAGTATTTTTTGTAGATACTTATTTTGGATTGAACGCCCTGACCTGGAAACATTAAGGTTGCATAATATGAAATGCTGCAATTTGCAAGCGCACTTCTGAAGCCACTTGTGCTGTGCAGTGACGTTGAAATTAGTAGGTCGGGTGCGTCGTGCTTTGTATTATTCGGGCGCCTGTGGTTGTTTCAATAATGACACACTTAAGTTATGAAATTTTTTTTGTTGTTTTTAACAAAAAAAATTCTTAAACACCTTAGATTATGTTTATGGTTATGGTATAAATGCTTTTCGGCTTGATGTCGCAGTTGCTAATATATCGGCTGCAACTTGCAGTATTTCAGAAACTTGATCTGCTATCAATGATCCATCTTCTATACAGGATGATCTTAATAAATTTGATAAATCGCTTGATTTTCGATGTTAGTCACGTAACCGAACACATTTGGCTAAACGTTGAGAAACGTCCAGATCGAGAAAAATTATCTGCATTTATACTTGCACTTGTTGAAGCTGATAAATCAGCAACTGTGACAGCGAAGTCATAGAACTATTTCCTAAAACTTGGCACGCATTCCTAAGCTTTACTACCAGCTACCGATTGGATAGTTATTTTTTTTTTGACTTGATGAGCCAGGGCCAATGACGGTTGGCCTTCTACAGATCCGCCGGACTTGAGGTGGCCTGGCGCACGGGGCGCCTAGCCTGAACCTCGGCGTATTATTATTACGCGTTATGGTGACTAAGCTCGAGGGCTCGGGCCGTCACGCTATTAGTTTCACCGATTTGGGAGGCCGTCTAGCTCTTAGGGCGCTCTGTCGGATGCTTCATTGAGTAAAAATACAACTCCACTCGATGGGGATTTGAACTTGGGACTATAGCAATAGTTTACTGTTGTGTTCATGACGCTCGCACCAATAGACTACGCGAGGCATTGGATAGTTAGCGATCGCTTGAGGTTGGATTAGCACGCTTTGATGACAAGTAGCCGACAATCGAAATTAAAACAAATATGAAATCAAAAGCTAGCCGAACGCTTCCGATTTTATACAGGCCGCCAAAAAGTTTGCATTTTCGGTCTCGCTTGTGAACTCGGTCACCTTCCCGTAGAATTCGGGTCGTAAGAAGTGCTTTACTAATGGCAATTACAAACATAACAAAGGACAGGCTCTTAGCACCCAAATGAGATCCATGAAGTCGATAGTGGCACTGGTGGAAGGTTGCGTCTTCGATTAAAGCTTCTTCTTTCTTTCTTTATTGCTTCTCTCTAAAGAATATCTCTAAACGCGATAAAATCCGTAAAGTAGTTTCATTTAATAAAAAAACCATTAGTTAGTTAAGTTTCTGTTTCTGTAGTGTTTTACCTGTAATTTAAACATGTGTCATATATTGTTACAACTTCACAATTGAGTTAAGTATACTTGCATGTCAATATTTTGCATGTATTGAGTTGGTAATAAACAAGTGAATTTTTTTATTAACGAAAAACAAAACCGATCTCAAATGCATCGCTCTCTATTCATTTTATAATTGATTTTCAGGATTTCCCTTCGTATCTCCGGAGCCCAAGATCCAATACCAATGAAATCAATATGGGACCACATGGGAAGCAACAGCTTTCGAATAAAAAAAGAATCATAAAATTCGGTACACCCAGTCGAAAGTTCTGAGGTGACAAACATAAAAAAATACAGTCTAATTGAGAACCACCGTTTTTGAAGTCGGTTAATAATATAAAATAAAACGAGAGACCTCTCGTGGTGGCGTCCAAAGCGCAGCCGGCCCCGGTCGCACCACCTCCGATGATGAGCACGTCGTAAGTGTGCCCTGCCTGCAGCATGTTCACCTGCTCCGTGCGCGAGGGCAGGGGACGCTTCTTACGCTCGCTCCTGGCGGTGACGATCGCCGGCCTGTACCACTCCTGCAAGAAGCCCCGTTCGATTGTGGCGCGCGGCAGATTTTGCGCATAGTCATTTCTTATCGCTACAATAGTATAAAACAAAGTCGTCTCGCTGTCTGTCTGTCCCTATGTATGCTTAGATCTTATCTTTGAGATTGCCCCCGTGCGAATCTGGGTCGCTAGTTACTCATATTCTTATACTTACGAGAATAATATAGACGGTTAAATAAAACAATTTCGCAGATTTCACGGACGCTTTGTCAGTGCAAATTGGTCGGAATGTGGGAAAGTTAAAGTGTTAATAAAACTCTGTAAAATCCGTAAAATAGTTTTTGCAAGGTATCGTCATTTAATAACGGTAACAGCAGAGAGTTTAACGCACGCAACGAACGGAACGGAAGCAGCCACGATTTGTAGATGTACTTGAGATGAGGGACACTTATAAAATTTTATATAGCGCTCAACTTGACATCTATCATTGCACGTAAATGTATTTAACGGTCTTAATTCATCTACATGTTACGTGTAGTCAGATAATTGTTAACATTATTACATACAAATTATATAGAGTAAACTTTACAAATGAACGAATTTAATAGCAATTAAGAACTGAACAGTATATGTGTACACAGAAATGAAGTACCCTCAGTATGATTTCAATCTCAGCAATGTTACATACATTTTTCGTCACAGTCTAAAACTTAGACTAAATAATCGCAGCACGTTAATATTTTATTATAGAATAATTATGATATTATTGGAGTTCCAAGAATCTATGAATTCGTTGACAAAAATGAAAAATTATCTAGATATCTTCTAATTATCGGTCTACCTTCCGGACTCTTATAATAGTAGTGTGTAAGTGTTGTAATAAAATTTAATTACAAATTCATTACCAACGAAACATTTTTCGTCTTTGAATATTATCGAAACATGGAAGAAAATATTTTCTTCCGCATAATAATCCAAGCTCTGGGCCATCTCGACAGTGCTTTGTATTGACAACAAAGGAAAATTTCAATTTCCGTACCTCTCAAAGGGCTTTTTAACATTCCATGTTCTTCAAAACAAAAATACGAAATCAAAGTGGTTCATTATAAGAGAGATAATTGTTTTTATGGTACAATGTTATGGCATTCTTCTGAAAGTAATTATATTATGTTGATTCCATCGATTACTACGGTCACATTGTGATGTAGAGTTATAACTCTAACTTAAAATTTGCATAGAAATTGTCGAATTTTTTTTTACATTTTTTGTCCTGGTAGCCACGAATAAAATGTTCAACAAGTTATCTACTCATTTTAAGTTTCCAAATCCGTTTGGATTACCGTAACAAACTGAACTATTAATTAATGTCTTTCATCTATAGATCCTTACGTTCAATTTTACTTAGCATGTGGTTAGCATCAGGTGAACCGACTGCTGGCTTGTCACTTAAGACTTTAAAATAAGGTTAGATTGTTACATGTTGCAACTTACTACGGGCGAGTCGTCGGCCGAGAGCGCCCAAGCGGCCATCACTGCGCTCGCCGCACCCGCGGCTCCACCGACCAGCAGCCTTCTTCGAGACATTTTCTGCAATAAAAGATAGAACGGTTAAATCATTTGACATTAATTTTATATAATAGAAGATCGTTATAGTGCCATCTGTACAGTAATAGCCGGAACGTTATATTTGCTACCCTGTGGTCGCTTACCATAGAACTTTAAAGGCATTAGTAAAGTATATGTACTACATTACGTTAAAAATTTTTGATATCTCGCGGTTTGTAGACTTATTTTTCCCTTACTTGTTTAAATTATAAAACTAAACTGCTGGCGAAATATAATGTGATGGTATGCAAATACCGTTAGTTAAGATATTTTAACGTGATAGAATCTGTCTCACGCCGAGCACCACATGACACTGGTTTTTGCACGCAAGTCTAAGAAAATGAGAAGTAACATTAAGCACCGTACACCGTAATTTTTATTAAGGGACACTCGTAGAACAATATTCGTTTTCACTATCATGATGCGAATAATAATTATGTACAACCGTTAACATATTATTGCTCGTGTGAGGATCGGGCCCACAACATATAATAATAGTTCCCATGGTCAGTGTGATATATGCGTAACGGTAAATTAGACGAGTGTTTCAGCCCAGTGATTGCGGGCATATTACAGAGTGTCAAGGTAGGTGTCCTTCCCGTCGTACAAGGCGACTACTACTACAAGGTTAGGGTCATTATTACCAAGTGGGGTGAATCCTGGGAGAAGAGCAGTTCGGCAGTGACACCGTAGTTCCACAGCTGAAGGCGGATACTGAGGGACGTCTAACCTCTCGGGATGAGTTCTAGCGCCGTGCAGAGTTTCTTTTCACATTATTGATGTTTGACACATTACTAAGGGGGATTTATCGAATAACATTACGATGTTTGTCTCTATGCCCGCGCATCGTAATAATCGACTCTCATGCTTTTTGACGTAAAGTCAAAAGAACTATAACTTCATAAACACGGAGTTAAAGTGGGTCCTCATAGCGGGAGAGGCGTATAAGAGTCACGAAGATTGGTGACTGGCGTGAGCGTTTAACATGTAAATTATTTTTCTTTACATTAGGAAAAGATGACGTGACTTGGCGCCACTGCCAAGCTTTTGGCTTCGGCGTCGGAGGTCGTGGGTTCGATTCCCACACGTGGCAAGTATTTGACCCACAGGTAATTATTACGGATCTGGAGTTTTGGTTCCCAAAGTGGGTTGACGTCAGGTAGGCCATAAAAAACATAGCCAAAACTTACAACAAGCTTACAACATGATGCACATCTCGTGTCGACCCGACCTAACGGGCCTGGGATAAGGGCAGAGGCATGAGGATGAAGATGATTCGGAAAAGATTAAGTCAAGTTAACCAGCCGATTCAGGGGTGATAGCACCTCGATCTCCACCAAAGAAACTCTTCGTGTCTAAGCTGTGCATAGGGGCTGAGACCTAAGACTTGCTTACAAACTTATTTGTGTTATATTACGGTAGTTACTGATATTTAGATACTCATTATCGTTATTACTATATCTAGACCTAACTGAAGAAAATATGCCAACTACGGCTATCAATATTTGTAAATGATGATGTAAAGCTTTACTAAAGGATAAATTAGCACTGAGAAATTCTCAGAAATCGCTGAGCTTATTACCTTTTTGCCAAAATGTTATTTGTATGTTTTTTTTGTGTATTATAGTTTTATTTTATTTTTGTTTTTGGTTCATATTTTTCTAAGTATTTTCAAATGTTTTTGGGTTATGGCAAATAAAGTATTATAATTCTTATTATTATTGTTTAAATCGGCTCTCCCCTATATAACCTTTGAGTTAAAACACGTGGAAGATTTTTTTTGTTCCACAGGCAATTATTAGGTATTCCCCTCTTTCGCGGACGATTGTGTCTTCGTGTTCCTGTGTCTCCGTCAAATGCGATAGAGCAGGTGCAACGTGGGTTTTTTAGTGGGTACCTATTCTGTACGGGACTCCCACACACCACTGCCACTCCCCCTATTCCGTGGCAGGGGGATCCACAAAGGATTTTACTCACGGTAAAAAAAAAGTCCCTCTAAAAAAATTGTTCGCAAAATTTTTTAGTTGTTACCGAATCGGTAGTAGTATTTTAAGAATGAAACTAAGTATGATGCTTCTATATTGAATAAAAAAGATATTTGAATTTGGATTAAAAACGCACCCTGCTGTAGTAAAAAAACTCAAACACAAAATCACGGATACACATTACGCTATCCAGCAATCTCAATGAGATACATCGGTATCTGATCACTAGATTATATACACACAGAACAACTTCATTAATTACTTTTACCTGAAATACTAAATATAGAAGTAAACACTAAAATAAAGAACTTATAGTTAGCATTGAAAATTATAATTAGATCCAAATTGTAACGTAGTTACGTAGCTTACCGAACTTATAGTACACCAATTAGCTAGCCGAATTAATATAGGTACATCAAATTGACCTTAAATTAAACAAGTTTGTGACGAAACAGATGAGGAAGTTGTTTAGATGTTTCATGAAGGACATTATAGAATTCACACAACTAAATGGTTATACCTAATAATTAACAACAAGAACTGAAGATTTTGCCGCTGTATAAATAAGATAAAAAAATTCCCATAGACAAAACTGTCCGATCCAGAAAAAAATTCTGTGGTCAAATAGCACCTTATTTAATTCAATTTAGATAGAGTCAAAGTGTTTCTTTGGATGTACTTATTAATTTTAATTAGATTATACTTAAAAGGCAAATAATTCATAAAAGGCAAAATAATTCGGAGCCCCACTTGCAATGACGCAATCTTACAAATTCCTTATCACTATGAGGAAGTATAAATGCTTCACTCTAGAGACTAAACACGCTATAGTGAGTCATTGTGACGCGGTTTACGTATTATCTGTACATTCATAAATGCCATAACACGTTAAAACCTATAACACCACAGAATATAGCAGAAGAGAGAAGAAAGCCTTGTACCCAGCTGTGGGAAAACTCGTAATGATGTAATCACGCAGTACGTAATTTTTTATACTATTATTTAAAATATTGATGTAGAGTCGTAATATTTATGATAATAAATGACGCAATTAGATAACGATTTGTATCATAAAATATCGAAAAATAATTATAGAGAACCCTCGTGCATATTATTTTGTATAAATTGGCTTGTCACAGTTGGATTAGTTTAGAGCGAGTATAAACTTAGCTTAGTTCACATGAGCAAGCCTTTGCAAACTCACAATATGTAATAGTCTATTGCCGATAAAATTTTCATTATTCATTCTTACAATGGAAAAAATTGAATTGATTTTTTAAACATATTATCATGTCAATGCCTATTCTTCCCTATTTTATAATAATTGGATTTATATCATATAGAATTTTCAATTACAAAATTAATTGGACGACCCGAATAGCGTAGAGGATAGTGTACCTATCTCCTGCGCCAGAGGGTGTGGGTTCCATCCCCACTACTGGAAAAATATTGTGCTATGAATATAGTGTTTTTCTAGAGTCTGGGTGTTTATATATGTATGATATGTATTTATTTACAAAAGAAAAGTATGTTTATCAGTTATCTAGTACCCATAGTACGAACGTTGCTTAGTTTGGGACTAGAGAACGTTGTGTAAAAATGTGTCCTAAAATAAAAATAAAAAAAATAATTGTATTTTTTTATGTGAGAAGGTGGCAAGCGAGCTGGCGATTCACCTGATGTTAAGTAATAACCGCAGGCTTTATGGGCTATTTCCAGCACCCGTTAAGTAATAACCGCGGCCCGTAAATATTTCCAGCACCCGCCCACTTCCACTTCACGCCAGTCTCCTGTGTGGTCGTGGTACTTCCCCGGACGAGCCTGCCCACTCGTGCGCAGACTGTTGTGTTTTTTTTAATGCGAAAAGTTGTCAAGCGAGCAGACGGTTCACCTGATGTTAAGTGAATACCGCCGCCCATAGACATCTGCTACACCCGAGGCTTGCAGATGAGTTGACAACCTTTTGATAATTGGGCTCCGGCCACCTCACTCACCAGACGAAACGCGAAAGTATTATACTTCCACTTTACGCCGGTCTTCTGTGAGGTCGTGGTACTTACCCGGACGAGCCTGCCCATTCGTGCAACAACCGACGCTGCTGCGTGGCCCTACCACCGTAAAATACTCCCTTAATAAAATCTTTTCACGTAACTAAACAAGTCTAGACATCGCTTGCGTTGTCTAGCATTGAATGATTAACTTTATCAGCGCCAATATCCGATAGCACGCTACGGACGAACAGTGATAGCGATAGCTGTCATCGTAACAGATAGTGAGTATCACTTCCTCCTACCTGTTGCTGGGCAATGTCCTACAAACTGTGATTACTACTGGAAAATCCGCCACGCAGCAATGACTGTCCTGACGCTACAGGCAAAGATGGCGATAGTATCGTACACCTTCGTGGTATGGATGCATTTAACACAACAAGGCAACGTCGTCCATAAATATCTACTACGTCTTTTCTATGCTCTGTAGTTCCGTACCATTGTCTAGGAAAACAGCACATAAATCATATCGTCATTTAATTATGTTTTTTAGTATTTGTTGTTACAGCGGCAACCGAAATACATCCTTACTAATATACTTACTAACCTTACTAATATTATAATGGCGAAAGTTTGTATGTATCGATTGATGTTTGCTACTCTTTCATTCAAATACTACTGAATGGATTTTTATGAAACTTTACAACAATATAGCTTATACATCAGAATAACACATAGCCTATAATTTACATATTTTATGTATATCTGTCTTTCTGTCTGAATGTTAAGCATTCAGTCTATTCTACGCAGACGTAGTCGCGGGCAGCAGGTAGTCATCTATAAAAATTTCAGCTGTCTAACTAGCACGGTTCAGTAGATACAGTCTGGTGAGAGACGGACAGACTGACAGACAGACAGGGGAGTCTTAGTAATAAGGACCCGTTTTACCCTTTTGGTACGGAACCCTAAAATCCACGAAATCCGTCCTACAGAAAGAAATGTCTCG